AGATATATACATTTGACTTCAGGACACACACGTCTTTCTCACCTTTATCTGGATCCCTTGTCCGTGTATGTCCACCTGTTTCGTAACGCAGTCGTTTAGAATGAAAGTGAGCCTCTCGTGGTATCGAGACGCCTCTCTGGGATAGAAGGTAACTGGGACCTCCATCACAGCACCAGGTAACAAAACATCAGGCTTGAAGTTTATCTCCAGGTAGGAGGTGTTGTTGAACTGGCTCTGGACTCTGATGAAGAAGTTAAGCATGTTTTAAAAAACTTGACATCTCACATTCTTTCCATGAATAAAAACAAATCTTACTGCACACACACCCACCTGATGTCTAGGTTGCCTTTGTTGCTGATCACCAGAGTCTGGGATGGCGGCACCATACCAGAGCAAAAGAGCAAGCACTTGCCAAAATTGAATTCGGTGAAGGAGAAATCCAGGCTCGGTGCTACAGCCCTGCCTTTAACCACAGAGGTAAATGTTGGTCCATGTTTTACCTGATGAGATGAAAGAGAAAACAGGACAGAATAAGGGATTTCAGAAGATTGATACCTCCATAAAACCCCTCAAATCTTATCTGGGTAATGAGCATCACCCACCTTTACACTCAGCCTGACATCCTGAAGGTAGCAGTTGCCTCGGGGACAGAACGAGAGCGACCCGGGCAGCTGTTTTCCAACCTCAACAGTAGCATTATGTGGTTTTGCCTCCAAGTATTTCAGCAGCTCACGGGGACCTTCTAGCTCAAAACTCACTTCCAAGCTGAATCTCGCCAGGTTGGTCACCAGAAAATGAATGGTGTTTTGATTTGAAATCCCAACCTGCAGATAGTGAACACACAGCAATAAAGCTGATGTCATGTTTTAGCTTTACACACATGACCTTGCAAATGTCTATGAAGTGAAAGTGTGCGCACCTTTCCAAAGTCCAGAGTGTCTTTGTGGTTGGAGTCGATCTTTCTGAGGCCCCCGTCTGGATTCTCAACTTGAACCAAAGCGCTCATGGTGAAACAGTCGGCTTTCAGAGTGAGTGTGAGCGGCTTTGACCTTTTCTTCACCTTCAGAAGCAATCTACAGCTCACATAGCCCTCCAGGCAAGGCCTGAAGAACACAGACAACGGCAACCTGCACCAAAAAGTTCACAACAATTTTCAAACCACGTTTATTAGACTAAGAATTTTGCAAACTCACACAGAAGAACATTTCTTTTGCAGTGGATTCGTTTTGAAGTGAATACCTTCATATGTGTTTATATTTACAGTAAAGATTAATATAGTGGGATTAACCTGTCTTTAGGTGAAACTGTGCCACTCATGGGCTGCACAATGATGTTGGACTGCTGGTCTTCACAGAGCAGAGATGACTGCTGGACCGAGAAGTTAAAAGGCTCCTCCTCTCCATTCACCAGATCAACTGTCTGCTCCACTTCACGACCTGTACACACACACACACACACACACACACACACACGCACACACAGCATTCTGAGTATTCACGAAGCAAAGTAGCTACAAATCCATCCGTTGACCCGAGCTTGGGACACGGAGGTAGCCGGCCGCATCGAGTTTTCCACACGTGCCTCTCCACAGCCAAATAACCTGATGCAGAGTGAGCCTCTCTCAGAAGGATGGTGTTATACATAAAGCTTGTGTTGCAACTTGAAAATGTGTGGATGTTTATAACGTACCAACAAGTAACTCTCCCAGGTCAAGGTGAGGTCTGCTGAGATACACAAGTGGTTCTCTGGTCTTGCCCACACACAGGAAGGGAAGCGACAGCGACAGAGTCTCAATCACAAAGCTCCAGAACGACTCCACCACATCCAGCCGCTCAGCTACATATTCGAAACACATCTGGAAACAAAGAGAATGGATATAGAGTATGTAAGGATGACAATGAAGAAAACTAGAAATACAATCTTGCAATTGTACATCTTCAGTCTACATGCATTTTCGTTCCAGACTTGAATGAGGTCACTGTGACCTCTGACCTTTGAAATATAATTATTAATCTTTAAGACCAAACATGTTATGTGAGGCCAGCATGATCTTCATGTTTGACAACTCAAATCTAATCAGCTGCTTTGTGAGTCTAAATAAACATTTGTGCCAAATTTAAAAGGATTTTCTTGAATGTGACAGATCTGACAGACAACCCAAAAATATAATGCCTCTGGCCACCTACTGTTGTCAGATGAGAATGATAGGGATACATGTGAGAAACGGAGGAGGGGATGAACCAACTAGAACAGATTGCATAAGATGAGTTGAACTAAAAATGTATAAAACAAAATTGAATTAAATTCAAATTGGATTAAATGGAAGAGCAGTGCAGCTATGATTAGAAGGTTGGGGACACGGGAAGATGGGGACAATGAAACACTAATGAAACAATTTAAAATGAGAAGAGAGACTGAGTTTGATTGATGAGGTGAATGAGATGACACTGTGGGAAAACGGAAGAGAAACATTGGGTGTGCATCTTTACCTCCACTTGCTTCCCTGGCAGAATGGTGCCACGTGGGGTGAGACAGCGAAACAAGCCGCCACCTACATCTTCACACTTCCACTTGTAAGAGTAACGTTTATCGGTTGGGTTCAACACCGCAAAAGATCTGCAGAGTGAAAAAAAAACAAAACAAGAACACACAATGAAAGTAATGAAAGTGTTAGATGGAGATAAAAAGCTTTCAACTCCCTCTCTCTGTCTGTTACCGTGTCAATGGCACAGAGAGGCCGACAGCGTTGAACTCTATGATCCTGATGTTGGGATCGAGAAGATTCCTGAATTCACGGTTCCTACTGATGTAGTCTGAATCCTCAAGGTCAAAGTGGCAGAGGGACTGAACACTGCGGCTGCACACTGGGATACAGGGAGCCTGATCCTCGTCCTGCAGGTTTGGAATACTGAAAGAAATGTAAACGTGTCCATGTAATTATTTTTTCATCAAATATTCTCTTTAAGTCATATCATAATGGGGACATGTTTGTGTATTTTTGCCTATGTGGTATTTTTCACCTCTAAACTGAAATTAACATAAATTGAAAGAAAGAAAGAATTGAGAACCCAGGACTTCAGAGAGAGAAATTAAAATCCTGTAAGTTTTCCTAGACTGAAGTTTAAGAAGTAGTTACTGTATCATCTTGACATTGTATTCACCTGCAGAGCAGCCTGCCCTGAAACTGGGCCACCTCCAGAGGTGAAAAGCCAACGCTGAAGTTCTGCGTGGAACCAGGCTCAATGAACCCGATGCTGGGTTCCACAGTGAAGGGTGGCAGCTCAGGGCTCCCCCTCACAAGAGACATCACACTGGCCACCGCCCTGGTAGGACGGGCTCCAGCTGACGCTCCTGCTGACCTGCTCTGAGGTCGAGAAACGGGGATCTCACCTGTTAAAGATGACGCAATCGCACATTTAACCATTTGAGCATTTATTCAGATTCATCCTCCAATTCTAAAGTATTCAAATGTAAATAGTTAAGAGCTTATAAATGCTATGATCAAGGTTAATCAAGTGTTTGATGCTGTTGTAATACCTCTTTGGTCGTTGACTGTGTTGCTGCTCAGATCCATGACAACCTGCCAGGAGTATTCCAGTTTCACACCACCCTGATTCACTAACTGCAGTCTGCACACACACAAACACACACACATTGAAGAGGTACCAATTTTTTTCTGGTTTGAAAACCTGTTTGATTATCAGAACAATATAGATGGATTGATACCACCATCTATTCTACGTTCACTTTGAGCCCATATCATCATTTTTGATTATCAGTAATTCAGTTAAGATTTGTTTAATGAAGCATGTAGTGTACACAATTCCTCACTTACTGGTGGAGTCTGCTTTGATAAATCATGGTGTCCTCGAAGTGGATGCTGGCGTCGTTGCAGGTGAACTTCACATAGTCACACACTGCGCTGATACGCAAATCCAACTCCCACTGCGAGCCGTCCACCACAGAGCAGCAGGGCTCAGGGTCTGTCGTTGTCACCTGCATACACAGACATCGACGCTCAACAAAAAATGTTGACTGGTAACCTTCTATTTAACATCACAGTCAACATGTGTACCTTATTCTTCACAGGTTGCTGTGATTGTGCTGTAGAATCCTGCTTTGAGCCACTCTGCCACTGGACTGTCCTCTGTTGGTCGTCCCAGTCAGCCACCTCGTCTACTGGCTGCTGGAACTCCACCTGGCAAACCTTGCATCTCATTGGCTGGCGGTTAAGAGTCACTGGCTCGTTGGAGCTAAAGGTGACAGTCACTTCTTTAGAACATCCAGCATGAAGGTGTCCCAGCTGTAACAGAAGCACATTATTTTTTATTATTTTATTTTTTCAAATCTCAAATCTACAGACACATGTTCCTTCCTTCAGTATCATACCTGCGGGGAAAAGACGACATGAGGTCCAGCAGGAGGCCACTCAAACTTCACCACCTGGTTGCTGCTGTGGTTCGTCATGGTGAAACTCTCTTGGTAGGGACAGTGTACATGACAGTCACCAAAATTCAGCACCTCATAACTATCTGTGAGAGAGAAATGTTGCAGGATAAGAATCAAGCTTTTGAGTTATTAAATCACTACACAGGGAGTGAACTCAACACTTTATCACTGTACATAGTTAACCTTTCTGCTTATCAGTCCCTTCCACATGTTGTGTCTATTTTCTTCTCTCCCGTCTCCTTTCGTCTCTTACCTCTCTCATCACAGTCCTGATCCATTTCCTGTGATGACTGGGCGATGTTGTCAAGAGAGACAACTTGCTGGTAAGTCTCTCCAGTCACTTGTATTATGGTATCGCTGCACTGGTTGTCCTCCACCTGCAGTGTCATCTTGGCCTTGACACTCAAGGGCTCATCAGAGCAAAAACTGACTTTTAACTCCACCTGTTCATTAACATTCAGCTTCAGAGTGGCTCTGTGCACCAGTTGATTGTCTGTGGATGAAGGAAAAGAGGATGGTAGTGTTACTAACTATTACACTCTGATTTCTCTTTGCTTGTTGCAGTTGTTGTAGTTGTACCTGAGTCAGTAGAGCCCTGCAGCTGTGTGCAGTGGACTGAGCAGTGAGTGTTGCCTGGAGTAGCTTTGAGGCTGAACACACCATGTTTATCCAGCATGTCAATCTGAACCTATGTGACAAAGACAGAAAAGAATTGATTTACAAAGTCATCTTATCAAATGTATTATATTCATGTGAGTATTGTAAACAGATGGGATTTCTGTTGTTGTGTAATGTTGCTAAAATCAGCTTGTGGAGAGTATTTTTCTGAAGACCCAGATCAAAATGTTTTTAAAGAGTCGTGTTTTACCTGAGCTGCAACATTTCCATCATTCAGCAGCACCAGGGGCAGAGTATTTCTTCGCCCGACTAATTCCCGTCTGAACTGTAACATCGGGTCTCCTCCGCTGCTCCTCAGAGCTGGACACAGCACACACACACTGGGCAGATTACCCTCTCCCACCAGGTCAAACTCCAGCACCTTGGTCTTGAATGTGGGTGTCGTTCTGGATCCAGCAGAGGAGAGACAAAGTGCAAAACGGTCAACAAAGACAAAAAAGAGGTGGAAGGAAATAAAAGACCAAAGTAGACGACACAGTTATGCACTCATACCTGCTGGTTCCCTCCACTGTGGCCTCGAACACAGCACTGTATAGCTGCATTGACTGTGGTGTGAAAGTGACCACAGCGAATGAGTGAGACTGGCTGGGGATGTTCAGTGTTGTGGCAGACAAATCAAAAACCTCCACATTACGGGACGACTGTAAGGAAACAAAGGTTAATTTTTACCCACTGTACCACAATCATTGATAATTGATCACATCACATTCACAAAGCTTTACACGCCTTACCTTAGCACCACCATATTTGATGGACAAGCTGAGCACACAGGGCACCTTGCTGCTGTTGGTGAGTTTGAAGCGAGCTTGAGCAGTTCGCCTGACCTGGACATTGTTGAAGAGAAACTTGTTCTCATCCAGGACGTAAATGCCTTCCGCATCGTTAAACTGCTCAGAGGAGAGCTGACTGCTGTCGTGACACAGATGATGCTCTTCAAAGATGGACGCTATGTCTAATGCGATGTCTGGGAAACAAAAGGTCAAATTATTTAAATAAAAAGCACTTGTGTGGATCTGAGCCCTTTGGAAAGAAGCCACAATCTTGTTAAACAATCAAATAAGACAGAATCAGATCACCGGCTCCTACCTGGCTTGCAGACTTCAGCCAGCAGTCTGTATGGTATGCCCTCAGGCTGGTCTGTGGGGTCACGGTCACTGATGTCAATGAGCAAACCCTGGTTCCAATTGCCCAGCTGGTCAGCAGCACAGTCCACTGTCAGCACCTGCTGAGACCTTGGCTGCAGGGTCCCTGTGCAGGGAGACACTGAGAAGACCCCCAGCGTGAGGCGATTCTGGAGGGGACACATGAGGGAATCAGAGGAAGTAAGGAAAGATGCATCAGAAAACCCAAAGTGGAAAATGAGAAGAGTTGGTTTCAACGTAAAGCAAGAAAATGTTTATCATACACTCATAAAGATAATTGGAAAAGATTTTAAAAAATCAACAGTTTCCTCCTCACTAAGTTGTGTTAAATAATTAAAAATTATTGTACAACTATAACTGTATCAGGCAATTCTAAATATTTGACTTTCATCTGTTTTCAAGGAGGTTATTTAAAGAACTCAGCTTAAATTACAATGGCTGACTGTAACTAACGAGACCAACTTAATTTAATTAGTTTACCAAGAATGTCGAGCACATGGTTCCTTTGATACATGTTTCTCATGTGTCTGTTCAGCATCGAGTTTCACACTCAAAAATCACAAACTGTTAATGGTGTAATCTCCACCAGTCTCTCACCTGTGTAACATATAAATCCTTCTGGGAGGACTCGTGTCTCACTTTGGGTCTCCCTGAAATGCTCTCCTTCTTATCTGGACCCCTGAAGCAGAAGAGCAGGACACAAAACACAGTCTGGTTTTAACATCTTCACCTAAAGTGGTTTTAAAATTATTGGACAAGTGCATGCGTGTGTTCTGTTCTCCTACCCTGGCCTCCCTGTTAGAGCAGTGTCTGTGAGCATACGGGAGATGTTGTAACGGGTCTCAAAAACCCCGGTGTTCTCGATAGTAAAGCTCTGGCTTTTCTTGCAGCCGTAGACCAGTGGACCGAAGTTAATGTCACACACAGGTGTGATCTTGTACCTGAAGAATTTATTGCAAGAATCTATTGTAATAAAATTTCATAATTACTTATTACGAAAACACATTATATTTAACATGCCAAAATGAATCAAGCATTAACCTGGAGAAGACAGACTGGACTGATAGCTTAATGGCTAAGATGGCTATGGTTTCGCCTCCATTCCCAATGTTGGGTTCAATCACCTGCAGAAAAGAAGTCAGTTAGTCCCATCTCTCAATCACATCATTCAGTTTCATGAATGTTTTTGTTTAAGATGATGAAGGTAATCCAGTCAAATTTCAGTTCAAGACAATAATCAAGAGGTGTCTGCTTCTTTAAAAATGTGATCCACAGTCTACTAATGGAAGTATGTTGTGCTGCCGTGACTTTGCTCCTGCTGTGAATTATCAAATAGGGAAGAACCTGACATGTCTTCACAGTCACAACATGAGTCTGGTTTTATGAACTAAAACCACTTTCTTTTTAACTTTGAAACAAAAGTCAAATCAAAATGATACAGACCTAAAAACCTGCTAACGAGGTTACAAAATAATTTTCCATTCAACTTTGACTCTGTGTGAACCTCCAGCTCTGTGATGATTAACACCAGTGAGCGGCTCATACCTGGCAGGACAGGATAGGTTGCTCTGTGAGTGAGACTTCAGTTTTGGGTTTGCAGAGGATTTGAATGGTTGTCGCCTTCTCATGGGGCATTAGATTGCCACGCTGGGGGGACAGGGTGAAAATGGAGTCTAGGTTTGGCTGGTTTGGTTCCGTCTGCTTCAACATAAACCTAGAACAAAAGTGCAAAACAGTCACAAAACATTCACTTCAGGTGGAAACTCAGGCTAAGAACTGAAAACAAGGTGTGTCACTCACTTGTAAGCAATTTCATATTTTCCTTGGTTTTTCATCTTCAGAGAGAGTTTGTGCTCTTCAAAGACTTGAATGGTTCCAAAGTCTAGACATCCATCTGCCACAGAAACAGGGGTATACAGTATAAGAATCATTTTCATTATTATGACATCAGTGCTGGGTGGGTGTGGGTGTTGAACGCTGTTACCTAACAACACGAACATGTGGAGTAAAATGTACGCTGTTAGTTTTTACCTGGTGAGATGTCCAGAGCTATATCATAGGATTCAGCTGCGACGTGTATGTTTTCAGTGTGTACGATACCGACAATCTTCTCAACGTCAGATACCTGAAACAAAACACACAACCTTTAAGTTACTTTACGTACATACAAACTGACATTCATACACTCTGACCACCTCTATCGGACCCAGATTTTCGTATTTATTACAAAGAACCTTTGTTACCTCTGCTGAGTAGAGTCAGTTTTTACCCCTGTCCTTGTCCAACTTGGTTTGCTTGTTTGTTGACTGTTTGACCACGCAAAAACTAGTAAATGGATGTAACTTGCTGGAAAGATGGGCCAATAATAACCTATAAAATTTGACTTTGGATCTAGAGCTTTTTTTTATCAGTTTCTTTAAAATTGTGACATAGGGTCTTTTTGGACATTTTCACCAATATTACATGGATCTTGATGGGACTTTGGTGGAGATATGTGCTCTACTGAGTGACATTCTAGTTCTAAAATGTTTTTAAATGGTATATGCATGTCCAGACCTAAATTGATCGATATTTTCACTATGCATTCATATACTGTCCATCTCACCTCCAAACGCAAGATCTTCTTGATGTTTAGTGGCCTCTTGGCCCTGAAGTGTAAGCTCAGGGGGAAAGAGGAGTTGGGTGAGATGATGCCCTGATCCTGTGGCACACTGAACTCATCCCCCAACTCCTCCACACCCTGCAGTCTCCAGGATACAGGCAGAGCTGTCTTATTATGCAGTGTCACGTAACAGCTGCTTCGCCTAGAGGAAGGGGTGGAAGAAGAGAATCAGAGAAATACAAGAGGGACAGACAGTTTAATTTAAAGGAGAATTGGAAAGTAATCACTGCTATCACAGTAATCGACATACACTTTATCATGCTGCCACTTGCTCTGTAGAGCCTTTGTGAAAATCACCTCTCAAGTCATTGATGAAAAACACTCTTTTTCAATTTCCTTTTCCTGAATTCGTTTTTCAAATGTCGGTACCTGTGCAGCAAAACTCTGTCAAAGTTCAAATGTTTGTTCTCCAGCTCGAGCTCTGGTCGGACGCCCCAACACGAGAGGTCAATGATGACGGTCTCTGGATTGTCCTTGATACAGCAGACGACACTGTCCTTAATCTGTCCCACTTTCGTTGGGTAGGCCCACACTGTCAACTCCTAACAGGTCAGCAGAATTTTCACATGTGTGAGTGTTATTACATTCATTGTATTCAGTCTAGGATGATAGACGGTGCTGTGGTACCTGCTTCTGGTCCGGTTTGAGAGTCATGGTTGGAGGGTCCAGCAGATATGTAGTGGCCTGTGTGTCATGCTGGAAAAGGAACTCGACCTCAGCCTCCAGACCTAAGTTGTTATGAATCACCAATTTCTCCATGTTCTCTGGGTTTTCCTTGTATCTACACACACATCCAAACCTGTAAATATGAAAGCAAAGAACCATACAAGCACACAAAGCCTTTCTCTGGCATCACTCTGTCTCTCACCTGTCTCTAGTCTTGCTACAAAGCAGTGGCCCAAACTCAAAATATCCAGGTTGGACAACATAACTTTTCTGGAGGCCTTCTTCCATTTGTGGCACCTTTTTACTGTGAGCAAAGAGAGTCCTGGGGAAACCACATATGATCATTTTAAGTCCAACTGAAATCAAATGTTTTCAGTCATGCATTTTTGCAGTCAAAGTTATGTGTGTCATTAAGTTCTGTTAGAGTGTTGACTGACTTGTAATCTGTGCAGATGGAGGGATACATGGCAATCCCTCTGCAGAGGAGCTGGTACTGTTTCTTGGTCCCCAGTAGCTCAAAGTTAAAGGCCTTTTCCAACTTCGCAGGGGATTCGGAGTAGAACCACACCCTCAGAGTCACTTCCCCATTGGCTGGTACGACCCAGCGAAACTTTGTCAGGCTGCAAACAAAGATGCAATTACAAACAACAAGCAAAGGCCCAAACCCAATGTGTCCTAGTGATGTGTGTATTTCCTTACCTCTGACTATGTTTCAGCGCCAAGTTTTCTCGGTGTTGGTCTGGTTCATTGCCGTCGGCTGTGGTGTTAATGTGTGAAGGTGAGTGAGACGGGTCCTTTGCTTTTGTCTTGGTTGAATTTCGGCTCTTGCTCCTCTGACTGTCTCTGCCTTTTTTATCCTTCTCCTTTGTTGCTATGATCTCCTTAAGGCTGCCTTTGCGGCGCATTTTAGACACAGGTGCCTCTTCCTTTATTTTACACAAAATATAAATGAAATGTTAAAATCTGTTTGTACTATTGATTGTTATAAGTTTCACTTGTTAAACTAAATGACTATGATTGAGATGAGTGGAAGCTTGTATTTCATGATATTGTCTTTACCTTTATAACCTCATCCTCTGTATCTCTCCTCTCCTCACCATCTTTGGTCGCCCCTGAAGGAACCAGGAAGGTGAAACAGTCACAGGGGAGTTGACCGTTTGTTTGCTCCCTGTTTTGGGGGAAAGGAACAACAGAGAAGGTGACGGGAGGCGGGATGGGTGGGCCGCTGGGTCCCAAGCCCAAATCATCCAACACCTGAGGACACCAGAGGAGAGAAGGAAACAGTTTAGGGAATTATGATAAATTTACTAAAAACAACTCCAAGAGATTAAGAAATAAATGTTAAACCAACCTCATCCAGTGGAGGCAGGCTGCTGCCTCTGAGCAGCTCTGTGGCACTCGCATGGTCTTTCTCCATTACGTTCAGCACAATGTGAGGGATGATGTCCTGAGGAGACAACTTGTCTCCTTCCTTGTTTGCATCAGGTTGTGCTGCCGTCTGAGTAGGCATCGGAGACATCGTCTTGCTACTGGCTTTCTTGCTCCTTTTGCCAAAAGGGCTCTGTGTACACAGTGCGATGATCAATGAGTAATCCTGTTCTTGTTGAGTACAGTTCAGACAATTAGTTCAGTCAACACAGTCTGGTATGTAGGGACTGAGAAATAATTCTTTGCGGTTGTCTCCACCAACCAGTTACAGTCGACATATATTTTTTCCAGATCCCTATGAGGCACTGTGACCTTTAACCTTTGACCACAGAAATATAATCAGTTCATCTTTGAGACCAAGTGACAACTGATCAATTGGTTTGTAAGGGAAGTTGGGGAATTTGTTTTAAATACATGAGGTTACGAGTGGAATGGTAGAAGTTTTTAAATAGTTCCTAATCTTTTTTTGGCAGTTTTAAATTAACTGACGACAGCCACTGGAATCACTGAACTAACCTGTTTGTCAGCTGAGGCGTCCTCTGACCCTGGTGGAGCTTCACCGGGAAGTGGGACCAGCAACAAGCCCCGGGCTCGGTCCCAGTGCTTCAGGATGTGCTCCACCTGCACTTTACTCTGCTCATAAGCAATGAACTGAGACTGCAGCTCACACACTACAGACTAGAGAGGGCAGCAAAGGTGGATTGGAACAGAAAGAAGGTTATAGAGTCGAAGTGTCAGTGTGGCGAAAAACTGTATTTTTATGCAGATTTAACTTAAAATATATATAACTGAATATAAAACATCTGAAATGAAAAGCGTCAGCAGTTGACAGTTTCACTGTTTTTGCTCTTTAACAAACCCACCACGTCTCCCTCCAGCTTGTCTCCAGCTTCTTCGGTCCTCTTGTTTGAATCATCACTCTCTTTGCTTTCATTGGCTGCGGTAGAAGAAGAGTTTTAATTAAAAAGAATATTTTTTAACATTTTGTCGGCACAGCTCTCACTTTTGTTGAGCAGAGATAGAGGAGATAATCTTGTTTTGACAGACCCTCACCAGGTTAAGAACAGTGTGTATTTGTATAGTGTGTTTTATGTTTCTCACATCTGTTGGCGCCTTCGCTCATATCACGCTGCTCTCTTGTGTCTATTTGTGATTCTTTAGAGTTGTTAGAGGCAGACATCTGATGAGCATCCTGTTCAACTGTTGACTGGAGTAAAAATACAAAAGTTAAAAAATATTTTGGGGTGTTTACATTTGAGCAAAGTCACAGAACCATACATGTACAGACCTCCTTTCCACCAGATGGACCCTTCTTCCCTGACACTTCTTTGTTATGTCTCTCTCCACTCTTTTTAGCTTTCGTCAACTCTGTTTCTTCTCTCAGCCTCTTCATCTCTTCAGTCTCTGCAGTCTGAGATGCAAACACAAAAGCAAAGTGTCATTGTAAACTATGTAGAATAACATATAAAGAAGCGGTTTATTTTGCCAGGAATCAAAATAAAAAAGGTTGAGGCTGGGTAAAACATCCCATATCCTTGAGGAAAGCAGGCTAAACCCTGGAGAGCTTTGGAGGTATCTTTACAGAGGTTGCCAGCCACAGGGCTGACATGGAGTCAAACAACCACTTGCTTTTGCATCTATAGACTTTTGCAGTATACTTCCTGTTGTAGATGGGTCCATATTGAATTTGAAAACTTCGTGTGTCACTGTCTTTAAACCTACCTCTTCTCTCTCCATCTGATCTGTGATTTGAGGAGACTCTGCGTGTAATGGTTTGTTTTCTTCTGTCTGCTTTTGTGACTCATCTGCCTTTTTGTTTTGAGAACCTGAAGCAAAGAGAAACATGTCAGCATCTACTAAGTAATCAGATTACAGTCTATACATGAGACACAAGACAACATTTTGAATCATATAGATACTCTATATGATTCAAAATGTTGTCTTGTCAGGCTGTTAAAAATAATTTGGTTTAAATTTTTTCATACAAAAGAAGAAATGTTTTTCTTCGCAGTCTCTTGTACCTTCATTCAAGTCATGTTGCTCTTTTGTGTCCACTAGTGACTCTTTAGAGTTGTTACAGGTAGATAATCTCCGTTTATTCGGTGCATCTGTGGACTGTAGAAGAAACAAATTAATTGGATGATCACAGATTGATAGACTTAGTTAATGTGTATGTGTGTGTGGTTATTTACCTGCTTTCCTTCCACCAAGTTCTTCCTCTTTGACATTTCTTTAGTATCTCTTTTTCCACCCTTTTTGCTCTTCTTCTTCAGCTCTTCATCTCTTAGTCTCTTCATCTCCTCCTGCTGCCTCTTTTCTTCCTGCTCTTTCTCAGTTTGCTCAAGCTTCCTTATAAACAGACAGACACATGTAAGAACACACTTTTTTAATGGTTGAAAATATTCAGAATTAATTAAGACTGTATATGCCGTAACTTCAACAGACCATAATGAATGAAGTGAATCAGACTAGCAAACCTCACAGAAAAAGTAGCATCATTTTAGGATTAGAATAAGCAATTGTCTGTACATCTTCCAGTACCTGAGTTTCTGCTGCTTGAATTTCTCTCTGTGCAGCTGCATAATATATTCTTTCTGCTCCTCTGGCAGAGCGTCATACTTGTCCTCATCCATCTCCTGCAACCACGGCTCCTCCCTTTCCACTGTCTCCTTCTGCAGAGCCTCTGAAGGAACCACACAGACTGTTCCAAATATAGTGTCATAAACCTTATTGAATAGAACTTTGAGTTCTGGTGCATGTTTTTACCTTCAGCTTCTCTCAGCACTCTCTCCCGTGCCTCCATGGCAGCAAAGGAGTCGGACAAATTGACCACATAGATGCGCTTGCGATTTTTAAGGGCCTTAAGGACGACTTGCAGTGTGCTAGCCACTGATTGAGTGTACACAGACTTCAGGCCGTCGATCACTACACCGCGGTGACAGTCTCTTAACTGTTATCACAGTGACAGCAACATCAACAGCAATGACAAGACAAGGGAGGAAACATGAAACACAAGTGAAATCTCTGTAAAATTCAGCCACTTTAAAGGGTTAGACTACATATCAGCCAGTAACCTACCTGTCAGTTCAATTGCTTGAGAGAGGGTGTTAGCTGTACTACACATGATGTAAGGTCCTGTGACAATATGTCCTTATCGTCAACTCTGTATTTTGTAACTGTGTTGTGAACTCTCACACAATGTTCTACAACAATATAATAAATAAACTACTGCTGCCATCTTTCTGACGTGTCTTACCTGAAATCTCTCTGCCAGGATATCAACCAGTAGATGATCGGGTAAGAGACTCCTGAGTGTGGTCACATCTCCCCCCTGAAGATTACACCAAAGGAATTGGATAATTACATTTCATTTAATTTTATTAATATGATTAGACATAGAGATGTGTTCAGTATATTCAATGTACATCTGTAACAAATAAATAAAGTAATAAAAAGTACCAGGCAAAGGGAACTGAATGGTTTTTCAGTCTCCTGAGGTTGCTTGCCACCATTTCTACTGCAGCCATCCTCATTTGCTGTTGGAACAACTTGCAATGAAGCTGGAGTTGAATTTTGTCCTGGGTCTGAGGCCTCATGATGTGCAGCAGGACCTGGTTCTGTGGTTCCATCAGTAGTCTGACCTGGAAGGTGGATATATTAATTTTACCTTCATTTACCAGTTGAATTTGAACAAAATTTCTTCTGCAAAAGAGCTCTCATCTAACTCCTAGACCTCAGCAACTCATGAAACATAAAAAAATGATTGAATATAATTCCACTGTATTTACAGTACATTATACTTACCAGCCACCTTCTTAGCGTACTCGGCAGCAGCACTGTCATAGACTTGTCTTGCCATCAAACTAACGGGTGAAGTGCCATGAATCAGCACATCTGTAACGACTGCATCAACACTGAGACATGCACCTCCATAGTGATGAGCAAAAGCAGCCGCTATGTTGCTCCCATCTGGAAAAACAGGATATACAGACAGTTTTACACATTCAGACTCAACATACCCACTAAACTGACTACAGCAGTTTGTTTTTTACATCATAATGTATAATTTATATTTATCTCAATGGAAAATCTGTTATTTTCACCTGTCTGTGGAGCTCCATACACAATAATCGCAATGCCTCTGCAGTTGCGTGCAGCCAAACCCTCAGGTGACAGGTCAACACACATGTAGCGGGCGATTGCTCTGGAGACGGGGGTCATTTCAAGCTGTCCCTCTCTCCCACTGCTTAACTTTGTGGTCATCTCTGAAATGATTGTGTAGTGGACAAAATAACTAAGTGTGGTTGAAAACAATTTTGTAGTTGAGTAGTAACAATTATATCCCAGACTAAGACCTTTATGTCTCTGTTTGTGACCGGAAATCTTTATGATGTTTCTAACACGTTTTTGTCTTTTATGTCTTTTATCTCACTGTTTGTGACCGGAAATCTTTATGACCTTTCTAAAATCCAGGCTTTTGTATTTGTTTTTAGATTTCAATACAATTGAAAGAGAGAGAGAACAGTCTTCAGGCTTTAGGTTTAGGTTTAGGTTAGATTAGATCCTGCACTGATTAAATATGCAAGTATATTCAACGCTAGTCCCTGAAGTTACCATCTTCTTTCAGTTCGGAGCAATGTTCCTTGTTGTAGTCGAGCAGTTCTCTGGGAAGACTTTCTCCAGGGACCCTGAGGGGCAGCAGCAATGTGTTGTTCTCATCATAATCTTGCATCAGACGCAGGATCTGAATTGGATGATGTAAGAGAGGACAGGTGAGGGGAGAGACACACCAGGACGGCAAAAGAGTGAGAGAAGTAGAATTTGAAATGCTGAAAAGAAAAACGTTGATGACTATATGAGGAGCCACGTGAGGAGAAAAGAAGGCAAGGAGTGTTCAGGAAATAGAGCAGCTCATCTTTTGTTTGTCTCCAAGAGGGATTGAAAAAGTTAAAAAAAAAGGTGAACGTTGTGTCTAATGTTTGATTTGCAACATTATGGGATTGCTGCAATGTTCTTCTATGGATGGATGAAAGGCCTAAACACTGCAAAGTTATATTAACACACTTTTTAGTTTTGCCCCTTTTCCCCAAATATACCTTTTCTTCCTCCAGATACTGTTTGTCAAAGTCCAGAGAGTAGAACTCAATGGGAAAGGAGCAGGGGTTTCTGACTGCGACCTCAGCCTCGACGGCAATGGAGCCAGGCAGGCAAGGTCCCAGCTCCAGCACAGATGGGCAGAACTCAAGTTGCGGCTCCTCACCCTGACCCTGGGCTGTAATGAACACCGGCTCCTTGTTCTCAGCCACATGGACCACTAGCTGCCTGTTGTAAGCATGCTGTAAAGACATATACAGTCGGTCATTGCCTTTATTTTGTAAAACTCTATTGTACATTGTACGGAACTCTAAAATCGACCAAGCTGCTTACCCCTTCAGCAGGACTGAACTTTATTTGGACGTTGACTCGTTCACCCGGGGTCAACACGCCGGAGGAGGGAATCATCTCAAACATCGTTAGAGGTGGCCGCTGCGCCTGCAAGAATTTCCTATGCAGATGACGAGGCAGGAACTTATCAACCTGAGTGAAAGAAAGAACAGAAGTAGGAAAATGTTTCAAGATGCATGAGGCAAAATTCTGAATATAGACCATACCTACAAAACGTAACTAAAACTGATTTGAAATTCTCTAAACTGCAAATTATCAAGCCTAAATTACATTTCTCTGTCATCAGGGCTCAATAACGACATCTTAGGAATCATTGCCAGAAAATATATACGTATGTATTAAAATGTATTGGCAACATCAACCTCTGTCAGGCTCTACTATTTATTATGTCAAAGTGCATGCCCACGTTTTTATGTTTTTGTTACATGGCATCAATAGTCACAAACCATAAAATGACAATTCTTTTGTTCCTTTATATAAAGTATTGTCATACCTTTTGGAAAGGCTTCACATGCTCAGCCATGCTCCAGTTGCAGGGCACAGTCTGATGATTCAGCAGCTGTATCGTCTTAATCTGGAAGTTGTAAAACATTCGATTCAGGAGGATTTTAAGCACAGCCAAAGTTCACTCTCATGTCTGTTTGGTTACAGCAAATTGTTTTTTTTGTTTCAGGATACAAAACATGGCCTTCTTGCTCCTTCAGCATGAAACCATTAATTATAGTTTGAAGCTGAAGTTTTTACTTCATTATTTCTAACCACAACAAAGCTTCAGCTCTTCCTGTGTTTAAGCTTTGTAAAAAAATCCTTGGAAATAATTAACTTAACCTGCCTTTGCAGGAAAGATGTCCCCACAGCAGGCAGCTTAATGGTCTCTCATTAATGATCCTCATTAGTGTGCCATGAAGAAACTCCGTAGTTTCACGCTCTATACAGGATTTGTCCTTTTAACTACTTCCTGTTCTTCTACTGCACATTGGTAACACAAAGAAAAATAAATGTGCATTTGTGTAACTATACAAATATAGCAAGGATTACTCATTTATACAAAAGTAATTTGAATTAATCTCCAAACAATAAGAAGCCTGTGTAGGGCTACATAACAGTTTCCTGTATTCCCATTTTATCATTCTCTGTTACCTGACACATGCCACACTGTAAAGTGTCGAACTGTAGTGTATCTGTGGAAACAGTAACTGCCGGCATGGCCACCACTGCACACAGCCGCACCGGCACCACGGGACCTCCTGCAACCTGCAAAACCAGACATAACCACTTTAAGAACAAAGTCACAGTGATACTGATTATAAATGGAGACAGGGTTATTCAGAAATGACAATGAATGAGAAATACTGACCATGTGTGTGCACATGTTTGTGTAAGGTTGTTGTGTGTACCTGTATTGGCATGACAACACGGATGGCTCCCAGCTGCAGTTTGGCTCCTTGTGGATCAAATTTAACTGTGAGAGTCTGAGTCTCAGCACAGGGCAGACTCTTGGTTCTAAGAGTTAATTTTCCTGGTTCAAAGTTAGCACTGAAACCTAAGAGGGAACAACAACACAACTTGTTTGTAAAGCACTGCAATAAAAATGTTTTTAATAAAAGATGCAATGTAAGGAGTCAGAAGAAATTACAGCTGTGACTACACAGGAGTAGGAATCTGAAAAAGCAAATAGACTGGTGTGCTCAGCAGAACTGCAACATTTTTAAATACTAGCAGCATCAGTACACACATTTTGCAAAATTGTGATACACTAATACTCAAAAAATAATATTCAATAAACAGAGACAAAGAACTAATAATGGTCCGAGTGATTAAGACATGTCTTGTGTCACCTGTGCCAGCGAGCAGTTTGTGATTGGGCTGGAAAGACACAGGTACTGATCCGGTGTTGGTGACATTCACAGTGTGACTGAGGACTTTCCCGGGAATGACGTACCCAAAATCCAGAATGTACTCTGGCAACAGGAAGCTGGGGGAGTGGAGAGAAGCAGGAGTGGAGAGATAAATAAGGTTATGCTAAGTTATGTAAAACTGATTTGGAGCAGATCCGTGGATTTATTCTACTTTCTTTAACATTTTGGGGGTTTTCTCAAGAAATACTGCAGAGGTCTTTATGATAAAACTCAGACATTATGATCTGGATTAAATAAAAGTATGGGGGGGGGGGTGATTTTCAGTTGCTGGACAGTAACCAATAGAGCTGTGAAATGTGTGTCTGGCGGATGTATGCATACATGTCACCATTTCACAAAGCTGTAATTAATTAACTTAAATTTATGATTCAAAGTTATTGAAGTTATGATTTTGTGTGTGTGAAGTTTTTTTTGTTTCAGTTTCTTTTTTCCATTTTACTGAATATGTCACAATTCTCAGTTTACATCTGTGGAACAGCGGATCACACAGTGTGCTGTGAGTCACGCCATGACTTCCACCAATCTACAAGCACCACAGAATAAAAACATTCCCTGCCAGATATTGCTCATTAACCAAGACTCTTTGAAATCGATAACACAGTTTCACACTGTTCTCACCCAGTCCACCAAATGGACCATCTGTTAAACCAGTGTGTGTGTGTGTGTGTGTGTGTGTGTGCGTGTGTTCCTACATACTTGCTAAGTTTGTACCACTTCCGAAGGGAACTCTCAGAGTCTCTGAGCTCGAGCAACCTAGTAGTCACAGCGAGAGCGTTTTCTTTGACCAGTGCTCTCTCGACCTCCAGGTGAAGCTGTTCTTCATACTGGAGAAAAGGAAAAGACAAAAAAGTGGAAACATTGAAGTTACATAAGCAACAAACATTCAGCACTTTCCGACAACAATAATTCAAAGTATTGTCATATATATTTTTGACATGTTGTAGTAAATGATAACTTCAATTCAGTTTTCTTAAACAATGTTGTCGTTATATTCAAGTATAATAATCAGATTTAATCTGACGTGATGCAAAGCTGCAACAGATACTTCTCATTAAAGACCATGACCTGGGAGGATCTCATTATGAAGAAGATGATCCTTTGCCCACATCAATAATTTTCACAACCTAGGACGGTATAAACTATGAAGTGATCGGCCATACTGACATCATGTCTCTCTTCTCTCCAACAAAGTATGGTGACATTTCAAATACCTTTGAAGATGTTAGAGCTCAAACATAGGCTTTTCAGATATATGAACAATGCATAAACATGACAAATAATAATAATTAACTGTGATGGCCACAGCCAGGCAGGGTAATATGCATCAAATTCACATTCTCTCACCTCATTAGTTTCCTAAATACAGGTTCATTTCATTTGCAGTCAGCCAAACCCCAAAAATACGCATCACAGTTTGTGTATTTGGAATCTGTTCATTTGTTTTCAACACTGTAGGTTACACAGGGAAATGTTCTTTATTTTATTAACTGATTGAGTGTGTGGCTGACCTCTGTTGTTGCTCCTTCATCATTTGATGAGACCCCATTTGCCTCCACAGTTGTCCGGGCCTGTTGCACCACGTCACTGTAGCGCTCGTCTGCTGCAAGAGAATCATAGCGTCACACCATAGACACTCCAACCAAAAGAAGTATATTGATGTGTAGTAAGGATTCAGTCATATCTGTGTGTATGAGTGTAAGTCTCTGCCTACACAGGTTACGAGGTAAGTTCAGGCTGATCCTTGGAAACACTCCCTCTCCAGTCACAGTGATGTCCTGAGGTAGAAGGAACGCCACTTGCAGCTGGAGCCGCTTCTCAAAAACCTCCGGGGTCCCGGGGAGGTAGAGCACCCGCAGGCGCTGCTCTGCACCAGCATTGATGTAACCCTGACACACACACAAACAAGTCAAATCCCTCCACGCATAATAATTGACGCCTCCTTCTCTGAAATTAACATAATGTGAAATTACCAAGGTTGGGACGACCATGGGCTGACCAGGTCTGACTTTCTGCAGCTCCACATTTTCTCCATTGTCTTTTGCATCTTGTTGTTGCTCGTCCTCTTCTGGGGCCTTCCACGGTCCTGCTGCCTCCTCAACGTACTCCTCCTGCTCCTCTCCCTCCTCATCCTTTTGTGGGTCTATGATGTTGAATTCGAAGCCCACCTTGCCAATATTACTGAGGGTCAACTCTGCTTCCCCTACATGATCAAAAAGCTGGAAGGAAAAGAGGAGATTGAGAGGTGACAGACTTTAAATTTAAAAGTAAACTTTGGGGGAAACAACTCCACGCAGTGTTTTCAGGTGGAGTGAATGGCTTGTAACGGTGATACACTTATAGTTTATGGTAGCTGTCAAGTATCTAAAACAACAAACCAAAAAAGAAATGCATGCATATTGAAGGTAAACTATAAGGATGCTAGAATGTAGAAGATGAGCTGACAAACACAGGAAGTAACCACAAAACTAAAGGGAGTGGAGACGGGTGTGACACATTAGGGTGCAGGTAATCCAAGAACCAGGAAATAAGAAGGGAAGTGACCAGAAGAATTTCAAAATAAAACTAGAGAGAAAGTAAGAGACAGTCAGAGACAAACAGGGAATGTGTTCCAAAAATGTTGCTCAAAATCTGAAACAGTTCAAAGTTGAACAGCTCTAAGTAAAGGTGGTGGTGGTGGTGGAAGGGGGTGTTTCAGGACATCAGAAAACAAGAGAAGGAGAAAGCACGAGCGAAAAGAAAGCTGGAGAGTATAGTGCTGAACCAACAAGAAGGTCAGAGAAATCTTCTGCTGAATGGCTCATTTCAACAAAATCAAAAATCAATATGTCTTTGTTCTGAATATCAATGATAACTGTTCTGGATTCATCTGCATACCTAAAGAGGAAAGTGCAGAAGATCAAACTGTGGAAAAGCTACACAGTGAAAGTTAATGTGATTCCTCTCATCAGTCTTTTAAAGTGAAAACATTGAGGTTAAAAGTCTCAGCAGAAGTAATATGTCTATAAATGTGTATCTGCACTTCTCCTACAGTTTGTCACTGAGCGTTTGATTTTCTGGTAATAGAAAAAAAGTGAGAGCAGGGAAGCGTAAAATTGTATCGTTGGTCAAAACAAAAGAAAATTATCAGGAAACAAACAGCACTGATGCTGCAAACATGTCATCATGCACAGTCACAAACAAAACTGGAAACACTCTCCTCAGGCCTGTGAGTGTCAGTTTGAATATGGAAGTATGCATCGTTCCCTGAGGTTTTGCACAAAAAAAGATCTCATTAGTTTTGTCTGAGATATCATGTGTCACACATGGGTGAGCACACAGATGGCAAAGAAGACAACAAAGAGGCAAATTAACACAAAGTATTATAACTTATAGTACACACAGAGTTTTTCCCTGACATGAGCAACCCAAGAACTGAGAGGGGAACTCAGGGTAAAGGAGCCTGTGTAAGGGACGTACCTGCACGCCCAAGTTGATGTGGGTGAAGTCAAGGCTGTATCTGATAACTGACGCTTCTCCTCTGAGTTTGATTTCGTATATGGGCCCCTCCTCTACATGGCACTGAGCTATCACCTCTTTGCTGATGTGTTTGTGGCCATAGAAAGAGAATATGACAAGCTGCTGGTCTCCAGGCTCCAGGTGACCATGTATCGGCAGGATGTCAAATACCTACAGAGACAATAAGAACATTATTAAAACGTACACAGGATGAATTCTCAGTTTTTTATTGAGTCCTCCATCAAGCTGCTGTGATACTACTGTGAAGGTAGAGTAAATTAGAAGAAATTCCTTCAAGGCGATATTCTCACACCAAAGATTATAATGGCAAACAGTTTTATGTCAATGACCTATTTCGCCTCAGACAAATTAGAAATCCTTAGTTCTTCACATGTGCCTACCTCTTGCACAGGCACAGGGCAGTGAGTCCTGTTCTGCTCATTTACACCAGTCCTGGGGCTCAGAGGAACTGAAGAGGGAGGAGAACGTCTTGTAGAGGAGGCCCTCCCATCTCCGGTCACAATCTCTTCTTCTGGCACCTCTGTCTCTCTAAGGGAGTAAAAGAAGATAGAATTTCACTGATGTTTCATTTATTTTTCTTACAATGACAGAAAAACAGACGTACGATACTGTAAATAAAACTCAAAGATGAGGCAAGAGAGGAATGTGAATTGTTCCAGCTTCATCAAAATGGGCAGATGAAAGCTTCAGCATGACATATCTACACAGAAGTTATATTAAATTATATTGTATATCCCATATATCATTAACACACAGTATTATGATACCTAAGTGAAGAAGAAACTCTTTTGCAACCACACCCCACAGAACTCTCATTTTCTCTGTCTGTTCTACTCTCGCCCTCCCTATGGGATCAGATTGGGTGTATCCATCAAGTTAATTAAACAGAGTGTTCTATAATTAAGTGGAATTTTAATAGGCAAGTAGCAGGAAACAGGTCAGGATAGATTGCAGCGAAGTGCTGAATAAACATGGCAGAGAATGAAAGAGATCTAGTGAGTGAAACCATCTCAAAGCTGGACTGGTCAAGTTCTATATCAAATCACTGAATGCTGGCTATACTTCGCTGCCAGTGTGTGTGTGTGTGTGTTTGTGTGCATACATGTGAAGCGATATTCAAGTGTGTACACACGGTCGTCTTCACAATAATGCTTCACTTTTGGTGTCAGCATGAGTGAATGGTGGTGATGCAGCCAGCAGGGGGCACTGTTGTATGGTCAATCTATGATGAATGTTGTTTTAAGGGGTCTGGCCATGGGAATCATAAATTAGTAGGTGTTGCAGTGGGAGATGTGAGGGTGAATAAATTCTGCGGGTCAACGTCTGCCTTTCGTGGTTCAGAGTTTGTCAAAGCCCATGAAAAACATTTGGCCCCATGCGGAAAAGGAGGCTTTTAAAAATGTGGGTCCTCTTAAGAAATAGTTTAAAACCCACTGGTGCGGACAGAGGAACAGATGGTGAGACAGCAGATGATGACTCTGTAAGAGCTCAGCTCAAAACAGAAATAGCGTACACTGACATTCTCATCTCTCTCTCTCTCTCTCCTTCTCTCTCTCCCTCTCTGTTCTTTCCTACATGTGACTGTGGCTGTGTTTTCCAATGTTCATCCCCAGTAAAACTCATCAAAGCCTGCTGAGCCACAAACATCTCACTTCCAGCAGATTGTCAGGAAAAAAGGAACAATGGGAAGTAACGATGAGAGTTGATGATGTCTTCTCCTCCTTTCATTAGGACAGGAAGACAGGAAAGAGCTTGCTCTATTAAAATATCCCTCTGCTTAAAAGACAGTGGTGTAATTACTGATAGTGATGTAATTAGCTTAACATGGCAAGATAGTGCAGGTTCTGTGAGCAAGACAGAGAGACTTAAGAGAGAGAGTGTGCACAGCAAGGTCTCCATTTAATTAGCCAGATGGCCTGTGAGACAGATTGTTAGGAAAGGTCACAATGTAAGAGAAGAGGAAAGGAGAGGAGAGGCAAGGAGAGAAGGATTAGATAGAGAGCAGAAGAAGCAGGCGAGACGAGGGAGGAAAATAAAAAAAAAGATGAATAGGTGATGTAAAATCCTGAGATTAGGAAAAGGAGAGGTGCGGAACGTAAGAATGCCGATAGATGAAAGAGAGCAGGAGGAGGGAAAAGACAGTCGAGGGTGATAAATCCTTGGTCCAACCAAGTTGGTTCAAGGCCACGGACAAGCAGACTACTATAGTATTCACAGTCCATTTCAAGGGCGGGGAGTCGAAGCAAAGGCTGCACAGAGGCATACTGTAACGTTTGTCGAGAACACAATCAGTAGATTTGTCTTCCCCAGGCTTCCAATCCAGAGTTTAATGTGTAGCTATGGAACTAACTTTTCCCAGTACACAGTTTAATATACGTTGGTGATTCATTCTGTTCCGGTCTCTGAATCTTGTGTTTGTTCTACAGTTTAACTAAAGAAGTCTTAATGTCATCAGTAATAAAATAATCTAAATGATCCATAGATAAAATTATTGAAAACAACCTTTAAAAAAATACATGTTTGTCCAGTTTTCTTATCCTGACTTTGTATTAACCTTATATTTACCAGTCCAAGTGACTAGTAGAAAGTAGTTCCTGAAGGTCAGACTCAAGGTGTAATGTTCAAGAGGCCAAAAATGTGATTTGTGGAGCTACCCTGACCTTGAACATTTGACCATAGAACATTTGTGCAAAATTTGAAAAGATTCTCTCTAAGGTGTTCCTCAGACACATTCATGAAAAAAGAAGCTTTGTGTTCATGAGGCAAATAAGAAATTCCCTTGAGGCACTCTAAAGACACCGTGTTCACAGGAGACAGATGGACGGACATCCTGAAAACATAATGCCTACAGCCACTACCTGGTGCATCACTTCTTCTGTGTATTTAAGGCTGTTGAATGACCCAGATTTCAACTATTGTGCCAAATTTCGGAGATTTTCTTTTTCTGATATCAGTCGAATTAAATAACAACAATTCCTTCTACTTGCCAGGTCCTTACCGGCAGTTTATACAAGCTATTATCCTCCGATATCACTTTGATCTTTACCTCAATCCATTTTCCTATTCTCTTACGTAGCCTCCCTATAGTCTGTTGACCCTGTGGAGGATTTTCGGGTGAAAGTACGATATAGGGTTTGATCCAGGAATTGCTAAGCACATCAGCGGCGAAGATGTCAGTTTTGCTGATGAATCAAATGTGGGTTGTACACTAAACACAAGACTTTTTCAGTGTACATACCTGATGGTACAGTGTTTCTGGTCCTCCAGGAAAGCCCAGCGGTAGGACACAGGCAGCGTGGAGCAGTTGGTGATTGTGATTGGTCTATGAGTCTCTGAGTGGTTGAGCACACAGCCAAAATCCACTGTGGTGGAGGAGAAGTGCAAGTTGGGGAAGTGGACTTCAGCATGCAGCTTCACCTTGTCTTGTTGTGGGTGTCCCTCGTACTGCACCTCAAGGAGCTGGGGAATAAAAGATCAAGGAAATTGTACAAAACAGTTTTCATTTCATGCCAAGGCTCCCAATCGTTCTGGATTTTTACAACTTAAAATGATCATGTGTCCGGAAGGATATAATAAGGCAACAGATGAAAAAACAAAGCAGTGCATGAATCATTTTTACATGATGCATCACTGTTACCTCCTCCACCACTCGTGACTCCTGATCTTGACAGTATTCTGGATGAAAGCACACCCACATGTCAGCCTTTTCCCCATCACCTAAAACCATGGACTGGAAAAAGACATGACACCAGTTAAACCAGTAGGTTAATGAATCAACAGAATTTAAGACCAGTGTTCACACAATGCAAATATGGACTTTCTCACTTGATTAAAAGAATCATTAAATCAAGATTTTATCTGATGACTGCCAACGGATAAGTTCACGACCCTTTAAAATCCCTTCTACTATTTAATGAGACATTTAATGGAATCCTGCGACGGGACCTGGGCCTATCAAAATATCCTGCTTCTCTTTAGCCTCATTCTGAGTCCTGCCAGAGGCTTGAAACCCATTTTTATGTGGATTCCAATAATACTTTCATGCCTCAGATATCACAAGCACTTAAAGCAAGCGCATTTGAATGAGGAAGAAAAATGACATGTTGGAGATGGAGTAAAAAACATGAATAAAATAAAATTATACACAGAAGCATTAAGATCAGTGTGCAGTATATGTACCTTAGTGGTATCTGAGCTATGTGCTTCTGGAGCGTCACACAGAGAGAAGGGCCCCTCAAGAGAGAGCTTCATGGACAGACGCAGAGACAACATATTCTTCAAGACCAGTTTTTCATATAATGGCATTAGATCCTTTCCTGGAACCTATAAGACATAAACACACATTAATTTTGTGTTTAATTCAGTTATATAAAGACACCTACAGGTTTATGTCATTATATTTCATGTTAATTAAAAACTATCTGGAGATGATCCTTCGACTCACCTTCTCTATGTAGAAGTTCAGCTGCTTGGCGGAAAAGCTGAGCACAGGAGCAACAAAGTGGCAGGTGACATCTACGGACATGAGTAGCTTGGAATAGCCCTGCTGACCCACGATGGCATTGCACAACAGACGTTCCTGTACAACCTTGAAAAACCAAATCACACATGCTGTACATTCACTGCAACATTCGTCAAACAAAAAGGATCCATAGGGGATTTATTTATGAAAGGCAGATCTTGGGTTTATTCACTCGGGCCTCCAAAGCACTGTGTTACCTTGGTTGAGTCTGAGGATCCCGTCAGCACCATATCAGCAGAGCAGCCTGGGAAAAGCTCCAACCGTGAAGGCCTGAGGCTGAACACTGGCTGGTCTCTGCGACAGGAGGTTAAAGATCTATGGCTCTCAACATCTTTCTTCTTGGGGACTGAGATGGGGGGCAGGACGGTACGGCCAGAAAACTTATTCCCCTGGTGACTTTTCGTGTTCGGCAGGAAGCCATCAGTCCCCCAGTACATCCGGTGTACCCGTTGGCCATGATTGGTCAGCTTGAAGTGATACTGGCATGGCTCATGGCTAATACAGAGGACACCGAGGATATGAAGCAAATTGTGAGGTATACATTTTCAATTCTAAATCACCACATTGTTGATGTTAAAGGAACACTATGTAACTTTTACTGAGCAACAGCGCCCTCTGCAGCCACAAGTGGTGATTATTTCTGTTGAGCAGTAGAGGAAAAACTGAGTCTTTCAATATGCTGAGTGGAGCTCTGACTGCACAGTCCCACTCACTAAACTGAATCACACCTGAACGGTGGATATTACACACGATCCTCTAGTTCCTGAACCAGAAGAGCTGCCGCTGTAACAAATCCACCAAACTCTGTTTAGTAGTATGTAGTAAGTATTTTTAACTGATCTACAGTTCAGCTTTACTCTTCAACTCGCTGCAATTTAATTCTGAATTTAAGTGAAGCTGCGACTATCATTCAGTTCTTCTCACAAGAGATGGTACCCACTCACCAAATACATAGAACAGACGTTCAGGGTGAAGAGTGGGAACGAGAGAGGAAACATTGCATAGTGATGCTTTAAGTCAAAATTAGATTCATGATTGAAACCTCTTTTACCTGAAGTGTGTCCCTAAGTCAAGGCTTGGAGCAAAAGGCTTGTCACTAACAATTGTGGTGCCAGTGCCTGTGGCAGATAGAGGGACCGTGAGTGTTTCACCATCCTGGAAGGACACTTCCATCCTTTCCTGGAACTTGATAGTGTCCTTCAGGTGTGCGACTACACAAAGCTCCAGTTGGCTCTCTGGTGGTATTTCACCTTCACTGGGCTCAACAGACCAAAAGGACTTCCCATGGCTCTGAGGAAACAAAAACAGAAAGGTTTTGCTGCTATGGGATGTCTGACTTTGGATCTGCAGAATGGAGACATGGGCGTAGTAACACCTAGAGCAGCCACTTCTATGAGTGAAATGTGATGCATGAAAAAATCTCCCTAGTGGGGGCACTTTCCTCTGACTGTTCTGCACAGGCCATTGAGACCTATGCTACAGATATAACTGGAAAGATAGATGTGTATATCATGTAACTGCATAATCACATCAACCTCTCAGTGCAGCACAAGCTCAGAGAGATAAGAGTAGAGCAGTGGCTCCCTGCCTGACTGACATAAGATTAAATATCTCCTTACTATGATTATGATGATGGAGAGTAGGATATATGTGCTGTGGTAAAGTAAAGTAAATGTACAGAAGCAGTAACACATGAACAGTTGAGAAATAATTGTTTCATATCTACATTCTGACATAAGCACTAAAAGGGACTGCGACAAGACAAACTCCATATTCCCCGGCTCTGTGGATTGTTCAGTTAAATTCATTTGAATAAAATCCAGTGTAATAAAAAAACAGGTTTGAATCTAATGTTCATCCAGTCTTTCAGCAGAGCAGACGGCCTTTCACTGTGCTTGCTGTATCTGACCAATCTAGTTCACAATCAATGTTCTATACAGCATCTCTGTTGATGGATGGCGGGAACATAAACATTTAATTGGGATTTTGAGAATGAGCTTCCTACAGACGCAATGAAGCCTGGGCACTTTCACTGCACAACACAATGGATTGCTGGTCAGTGGGTGAAAATGTCATCACTCAAACACTGCGATTGGCATTTGGGTTGCCATACTGAAACTAATGCTGGACGAGTCAAATAGAAAGACTTTGTTTGACATCTGTGTTGGAGGAAAGTCTGCGGAAAAAAAGCATTTTTGTTAAAAAGCCTCAAACAAACGGACAGAACTTGACGACCGGTTGACTTTGAGAGTCACGGATCACTTTCTCAGTGTTTATGATCAGCTGACGGAGCCAGTGAAAGGGAACTTGGGGTGGGTCGATACTAGGGTCAACCGTGGTAAAGGGGTGGGTAGAGCCGGAGGAGCAGTAAGAGCAGGAGGTCAATTCCCTGGAGAGAGGCGCAAGATGACTAGAATCTCAATAATCACATCAGATCTCCAGCATCCCACAGCTTTATCAGAATTGATCGTTTTTGTGTGCAGCAAAAGTCAGAAGGGTTCTGTGCTACGCTATACAACTATCAACAAAACATCACTCTGCATAAATCCTGCATTGATGCTGCAGCCAATTTTTCTGTCAAATATTACACAGCACGACTCAATCAATATCTTGTAATGAGAACTATACGTGGCTCATGTTTCTGGTCGATGGCAAAACCACACAAAAATGATGTCTGAATTTTCAAACTCATCCCTTTCATCAGCGAGTGCAGAAAACGACATCCACGTCATGTCTGCATGTTCCGTTAAACCTTTTATTTCTAGTACTGTATCTCTGTTCATATCTGACAACTGAAAATAAGACTAAAGAGTCTGATAATGAGTAAAGTAAAGAGTTTTCTTATCAAACTGCAGACTGTGGTGCTGGAATATTGTCAAGATATGTGTGATAAGATAATTTATAAAAGCCTTATTTGGATTTTGGGGATAGAGTCATGATTCGTGTTTCACAGATGGTCACTAATTTGACAAGGAAGTGTGGAAACCTTCCGCAATACCCCTGCGATCTTTTGTCATCAAGTCTATTTGTGTGGCTCCCTGCCAGCCTATTGAGCTCCATGTAATATAAGTCCAGGAGAATCTGCATCGATTGATGCTTCAGAGTGCAGAGAAGAAACTTCTTCTCTCAACGCTGCCTCAGAGGAGAGGACAGGGTCACACAACTGCAGTTACACCAGGGTTGCCTGTGTATGTGTGTATTTGTGTGAATTTCTGTGTGCGCACAGTCATGTCTATGCCAGCGTAGGAAGTATTGAGGCATGGTTCCAGTCACAAGTTTGTTCCCGATGGATATCAGGCATCGCTGATAAGGCGATGCGCTTTGAGAGATGGGCTTTCAGGAGGCAAAGGGAACCACTCAATATGATGAATTGTAGATATCATGTTGCCGCAGAGTTTAGAGTTTCATTTACACTGAGTAAGCATGATAAATGAAAACAGGTGGAACTCAGCTATTCAATCTTGCAACACGTTATAAGAGATAAAGCAACATTCTTTTTAGAAAATGTGTTTGCTTACCAATGTTGAAAATTTCAACAGTTTTAAGAAGGTCAGGTGAAATGAAAGAGATGAAAACAGTGGGACTGTGGTTGACATTGGACCATAAATATTAAACAACTATTGTGTGCATTGAATGTCCAAAACACCAGAAACTCCAAGATAATTGAAATTAAGAATCATTCGATTAGTTTGCCAGATCACGATCGCCTCTTACATTTATATCATTGTGAATTGATCAAATGTCACCATCTGACCGGTTTATAAGGAAAATCATTTATGCTCCGGGGATAGGACTAAAATTGAACAGGCAACTAATTATTTCAAAAACTAACAAGGCATCGAACCCATTAACTGATTAATTACATATCCAACTCCACTGAAAATCAATTAGTCACAGTAGCAGGGGAAGACAGACATAAGGTTTACATGAGAAATCAAGCTGGTGAATAGATACACAAATCACCACTGAAGCTAGGTAAGGTGCTCTTAGTTCATTATCATATGTTCCAAGACTCATTCTGCTACTTGATCTGAAGGCATGTAAAGTTGCTTCTTTCATCTTAATTTCGATTACAGTAAAAAATGCTTTTTAGTATGTGCCTGCCTGATACTTCTCATTCAGTATGTCAGTTGTGAGTCGTGTGTTTGCAGAAGTTTGTACCATGCGAGCCGTGAAGTTGGCTGGAATAGGTGACTGGTTCGACAGCTGCAGGGTTTTCATGACGTCTGTCAGAACTGGGATTCGGCCAAAGTCCATCTGTTGATTCTGAACATGAACAACAGCACCCTGTCCAATACAGGACAAGACCACCTCCTAGGATAGAACAGAACAGAGACAGGTTAATAGAGTTAAATAATGTTGCTTGTATTCATTAATGAACACAGTAATCAACCTTAGAGTGTATATAAAGAAGGGTGCCTACTCCCTGCGTCCAAATGTGGGCTACGTAAGTTCTTTTTTCTACAACAGGAGGACGTGAAGACATGTCTTCCATCTTTACAGAGTCTATGTGTTAGACCTGTAAAAGCACAGATGCAGACACACACACACACACACATACCAGGGGTGGAAGAGCACTGCCAAACACAGCAATATGCAGACAGTGCTGCAGATATCCAACAGCCTTAGTCCGCAGGACCACTGGAACCTGCTCTGAAGTGTTAGGAAGAATCACTCCTCTGGGTTGAGAACTGCCAAAAAGCAGTGATGGATTCTCCTCATATTCCTGACAGAAACATTTCCACAGATAGAAATTAAGATCCAACATCGATTGTACGTACAGATTAAAAACTCTCCACTGGTGCCATAAATCAAGTTACCAGTGGAAGGCTATCTTGAAAAAGCAGATAAAAGCAGCCAAATGAAATGTCAAGATACCTTGAATAAAATTTTGGATTCATTGAGGGAGACTTTTTGGAGTAGTAAACAGGTCAACAAAGTATATAACATTAGTCTGTTTTTAGACATTTTAATGAGGAACTGTAACATATATTTAAAAAGTATTTAGATCAGGTGTTAAAGTATTGTTTGTAATGTCCCTCAGTAAGTGTTGCGGCACAGAAATACTGGAAATGGGCCACTGTATTAAATATGAATGCATGGGCCTTGATGGGTCTTGTTCTATTAATCTCATTGTAGTATCACATACTGTAAAATTGTTTCAATTGCATAAGTGACCTTACCTTGTCAAGCAGGCCGTAGCAGACAGGCAGAGTGCTGGGGTTGGTGAGCTGCACTTGCTGTTCATAGGAGTAATTGAGGAAACATCTTTGAAAATACAACACTGGGGTCTCCACCACAATCTCAGGAACAACACATCTATCATCGGAGAGAGAGACGGAGGAGGCGGCACATGGAGGGGAGAAGAAAAGATCTGAGCTTTAGTTATGAATCACAACAGTAATTGCACCGCATCATGCCAAAATGACAGTCTATTAATTAGAACTGTTTCATAAATTTTCAATGACGGTGATTGCCATGAGGAAGTCAGATTACTGCCCTATTCTGAGAGATGGTGCAGGTGACATTCAAATGTATTATCGTGCAAATTAGGCTCTGAATATTTAACACATACTTTGCTGATTTGTCGACACCTGTGAGGGGGTTCAATGGACCACATTCACAGCTTGTCAAAGCTTCAGTGAAAGTGGAACAGAGGTTACTGCAGAAAAAACTTACTGTTGTTTCAAAGATAGGCCGATAAGAGAGTTTGTAACAATCAAGATAAAGCTCTGCTGCTTTTGCATTTTATGTCAGAACACATTTTCATATTTATCATTTCAGTAGAGATGATTTGCGATCCTACTAGGACAGAGGGCGGGTGATTAATTTTATCCATTCAGTTTTTTCAGTAGATCGAGATCAAACAGTTTAAAGGCACATGAGCAAAACATTTGCAATCAGTGTTCATGGCCTAAATGTGCAACTAACTTCAACTGATGTGTGTTTGAACATTTATTCATTTGTGCACTGTTACCTGGCATTGATAGGCAGAGTCCTGATCTCCTCCCCAACACCTTCAACATCCACCACCAGCGCCAGCCTGTATCTCTTGACTGTGTTGGAGCACAGTGTCACCTGCAAATATAATGCACACACAGTATGAGATCACAAGTTGTTTTAAAGATGGTGTGTTAGAAAATATATATGTTACAGTTGTGTTGGACAAATGAACTGACATCATTTAGACTGAGTTAGTTAGTTTTGCCCTCAAGTTCCCCAAAAAATAGTTGTGTAATGGGTAAAAAAAAATACTGTATGTGTCGTTACTGAGGAAACACATTGTAGTTCATGGCAGCACAGGGGTTGGGTCAGGTACGGCTTGGCGGGTGCATAGTTTATCAAAAAAAAACAGAGAACAAAGACAAGAGAGCTATGCTGCATTCACAGTGCCCCATGAAAACAGAAATAATCACGTTAATGACAGAAAATAAATTGCTAGGAATTCTGTAACCATCCAGTTTCACTACAGTATCCACAGGAAACATTTATATGGCTTATTCCTCAATGTTTTACTTACCTTTATGGTTACATCTGACAAGGCACGAACAGAGCCTACAGCAGGTTTGGCGATGAACTCAACTGGCCGTGCATGAATGTTTCTAGCAGTGCTGCCTTGCCAATTGTTTCTGGACATCTCAGATACTTGTTGGGAACAACTAACACTCGGTGATCCCAACCCATCTCCAAGGACACGTAGGGCAAAGGTCATAGGCACCAGAGATGTATTGAAGAGGGTAAAATCCAATGTTTTTGGGAAACCTGCAGAAAGAGACAGAGACAATGAAAAACAGAAAATATGAGAAAACAAAATAAAGATTGCAGGTGGAAGATAGTAAAAAAAGAGGCTGAGGTGAAAAACATTCTGTCTGCATGTTGTGAAGGGTAAAATATATCTAATAAAGCAAATGACTGAACACAGGCAAAATGCTGTTACCCACCAAAGGCCACATCTCCAAAATTGAGCTCCGAAACATTAAAGTGGAATGTGGGACCAACGATGCAGCCCCTGAAAGACAGGACATAGACGTGTACATGAGAAACACTAACAGCGAATTGAAGGATTCTTAAAGAGCACAGTGGGTTTGGTGGAAAGTGACATTTCTATTAGTAACCCTGCCATCACTGCCACAAAATGAGTTCCTACATTTGTTTAGATAATTCTCAAAGTTCCATTACAATCTGAGTTACAACACTTGCTAACTTCACCTGAAGGTCAAGGTAAGTGGTCTGGGCTGCCCTGTGACAGCAAGCAGCATGTCCTCAGAGAAAGTTCCCAAGATGTGACTGCAGAAGTTGACTTCCACAATCTGGCTGGCCCCAGAGGGAACGACACCTTCCTCTGGACTGAAGGAGAAACAGCGGCCGAAAGTGGTGTCGGGACATGACAGCTTGAAGGGGGCATCAATCAGCCCTTTGTTGGACACCAGTACCTGGACAAAAACAAAGATCATTCAACTCCTGAATCGTGTTTATCTCGTACATGTCCCGTACTAATCAGCATTTACATTTACTAACATTTGTTTTTAAGCAACAGTGCTGACAACTTTACCACCGTGTCATGCAAGCTAGAGAGTCAGTGACATCAGCAAGTGGTCTCGTCTTAAATCACTAGAAAGTATATGGTTAACATTGTGTCACACTGCCTTAACTTTCTCACCTCAAAACAGTTTTTGCTACCGATGAATATATTTTTCATATCCAATAGGTTATAGTTGAGGTGGAGTGTGGGTCCCAAGCCCTCACCCTGGATTGTGAGAGGTAACCGAGATTCACGACCTGAGAGTAGATAAAGACAGACATAGGAAATATTGATTATTAAGTAAGAGGCAGAGAAACAACCATAACCCTAACCCTAGGAGGAAAAGGAAACAAGGAGGTCAGAAGTGTAACAACAACATATACCTGCAAGTTGCTTTTATGCTTTTAGTTAAACGATTGGCCAAATACAAAATGTCTAAACTCTTTGGTAAACATTTGATTTGCTGCTACATCCTTCTACTTCTTTTAACAGTAGACTTAGACATGAGAGGTCTTTCCTTTTGTTTTGCTAACAAGCTGTTAAAGCCTTTTGCAAAGTAAGAAATCAGGGTAGAGTCATCTAAAGTCCAACTGCCATTGTATTGGACTGGTCAGGTCCTCCCCTACCTCAGAAAACATGGAAATCAATGTAAATCTGGCCTCCGGCTTAGACAACACACGAGTAGGCAACATGCAAATTTGACAACAACCTTTTACCACCACTTGGTAAACACAAATGTATCTTGACTAGAGCAGTGCCCTGTGTTGACATTATCAGTGACAATGCTAACTTCGGGAGCTCATGAGTATATTTGTATTTATTTGGAACATTAATAATTGTAAGTGTATTGAAATGATAAACCCAACACAGTGCTTTTGTATTGTATTAGAACGTCAAAATGAGTGATGCATTTTCCTGGTAGACACTGACCTGTGACATCACAGTATAAGGTATGTTGGTAAAGTTTGGCCTCCTCAGGCTTGAAGACGATGTTGAACTGTGCAGTCATCTTGGGCCATATTTCACCTTCCTGAGTAAAGGTAAAAGAAAACAATGATTGATTTACTGAAAGGATATAAAGCTGAAAATGGCAAGTTTACACGTAGAGAAAATGATTTGTTGATGCTGTATTCAACTGCAGATAATTGAAGCGCAGGAAACAATGTGGAATTTGATTGGTGCTTTTAGTCAGGCTGAAGTCTAAACAAGCACTAGCTGCATCTCACTCTAATATCTGTGTTTGTCTCTGTGTGTGTATGTACGGATGTGTGTGCATAGAGTGCATTTCCATTTCTCTCAAATGCCCTCTTGAAGTTTGTTTTGTGACTGGCCTGCAGACTGTTTACTCTCTCCTCCCCACCCTTTGACTGTCCTGAGAGGGCAGGAGAATGAAATGTTTTTCATTATCCTCCCTTTCCCTCTGTCCAGGGAACCTGACTGAGCTGAGCAGAGGAGACACTGGCAGAAAAGGGAGGGGGCAGTGTCAGAACAGGTCACACTACCTGAAGGTCCCTCAGCAGAAAGGGCCTGGTCTGTGACCCTTCTGTCACTGAGAAGTCAGACTGTATTTAAATACTGACAACAGAGACATATCGTAACTGTTTGTGGCAGATCTAATTCTAATCTTCTTATCTTTTTAGGGGGAATCCACAACAGATTCTTAGAAACCATTTTTGCTGGCACCAGGCAGCAAGAATGAAAGGATATTGAGAGACAAGAAAAGGAGTCACATGAAAACACACCATTGGATCCACAGTTATGCAGCTGTGTGAGAGGGCCAGGAGGTGCTCCTTGGCAGCCTGGCTTCTACGTTCCTGCAGAGTGCTGTCCTGCTGCGGGAGGCGATGGATCGCCTTGGGGTCAGACTGACAGTGAAAAAGCAACTGCTCTTTTTCCTCCTCCTCCTCCGTCTGCTGGAGCATTGAGCTCTCCCTGGAGAGTGGGAGGGAGAGGGGGACGGTGAAAGACAAAACAAAGAGAGAAACAAGAAGGGTCAGAGAGAAAATGAAGCAGGAAAAGAACAAAGTGATGGACACCTGAGCTATTTCTGGCAACACATGCTCTGGTAAAAAGGAAAAACTGCACTGCAGGTAATTCTACTTTCTACATGAATGCAGAGAGAGACAGAGGGGTAGCTTACACAGATCAAACTTTGAAATAAAATCTATTCAAAAGCACAGTTCAGTACTGTCTGTGTCTTTTTGTGTGAATGCATATGCAAACAGTATATATACAGTACATAGCCTACATGCATACATGCATTACCTCAATAAGTGCTCGTCCTCCTTTTCCTGGCTTGGCCACACTGACCAATAGTAGCGAAGAGGGATGTCACCCGTGTTAGTGAGACACACTTTGTTTACGTTGACCAGAGAAATGTAAGTGTCGGTCAACATGACAGAGTTTGGCCTAAGATTAATGTTCAGCTCCTCACAAACTCCATACAAGCTCACGGACACATCTTCACCTGAGAAGAAGACAAGAAAAACAGCAGAAACACGTCAAACCACAGAGAGTACAGGTGGATTATAGAATTGATTTTAAGCTTTTATCTATCTTTAGTGTGAGTCAGAGTTATGACTAAACTTATGAAGATTTTGGTGCCATTTGATTCTTACACTTAATTAAGTCAATTACCAGACTATAGGAAAACTACAAACTTTTGCAAAAACGTGATCTCTGAATGAGCAAACCATGTTCACACAGCTTGATCGTTCACTGGGCCTTTCAAAAGCACAACAAATCATTTGAATAAACAATTTCCCTCTTAAGGCTGATGCATGTAAGCTGATTAAATTGATGCCACATAATGAATGAATTATTATTGGTGAAAATGTTGCAAAAACATAAATAAGTTTCAGTTTAAGAAGACGTCCCCGGCCTTCTTAAAAAAAAATTCATTTCGTTCCATGAGTTCCAGAGGAAATGCTGTATTTTTCTTTTTGCTTATTCAAGAAGAAAACTAATGGAAGGGAGTTCATTCATAATTGAAGCGATGACCTGTGGTATCGTGGAGGGGCAGTTACACACTGATGCACACTATTGCACAAACAGTTTGAAACTGGGAGCAACAAAATCCTAACCACTGAGCAGCACCTGCTGTCAGGCAGTCTCAGGCCTAATGCCAGCAGTGAATAGAGTGGACAGTCACAGTGAGGACAAGGACACACCGCAAAGGTGATGGTTTGAATCATAATGTAGCAGATTTAAGGGAAATATGATTTCCAAGCACAACACATAATAAAATATTGATCTCTGGAGTAAAGTTTGAAAACCACAAGCCACCAGATAAAAAGTCCTTAATGCTTAGTTAGACATCTAATGAGTCTCTGTGGTAGTAACACCGAGCCACCATCACAGTATGCACACTTCCAACAGAGGGAGAAAGAGCAACAATAACAAGCAACAAACATAAGATGCAAAACTAAGTTTTGTATAAAGCCACCAAGAACAAGGTTGTATGTAAATTTAGTGAGTGTTTGTTTACATTCAAATCAGGACTGGGGATTTAGCTCATAGAAAAAACAACTCTCCTTATCCTGAGATTATTTATATTTGTATAATGCAGAGGTTACTTTTTTCAAATCAGTCGGTCCAACCATAACTCACACAGGGAGCCCACTTGGAATCAACACAAGGGGATGTCTGAATTCTGAACACTGAGTTTTGCTTGGCTCTGAACTCCACAGGAGTGTTTTTGTCATTCATAATTAATTTGTCTTGTGAATTTTAAAACACAGATACCTTAGTCAATAAAATTACTACAAATGAAAACTGGGATCAAAGTGACTTGGAGGATTTTGTCATCTGAAAGCAGTTCTGGCTTTCTCATTTCTGTGCGATTGTTGTGCTTTTTAGTGTTTGCCTTTAGCCAAAACCACCGTGGAGAGTTGCCATTAATTACTTCTTACTTACAAGTGTATTCTCACATGTCCTCACTTTGATCTGAACACAATGAGCACCCGACTCACTGGGATTAACTGCTTGGAAAAGCAGATTCAATTCATGGCAAACATTTTGGATATAATTTTCGATGCTTCCGATACTAAGATCCTACATTGACTTATATTGATTTCCAGAAGACTAACTCTAACTTTAACCTTAACCCTACATCTTACCATAACTCTAACCCTAACCCTCTCTAACTTTAACCCTAACCCTACATCTTACCATTACTCTAACCCTAACCCTCTCTAACTTTAACCCTAACCCTACATCTTACCATTACTCTAACCCTAACCCTCTCTAACTTTAACCCTAACCTAAACCTAACCCTTAATCTTAACCTAACCTTTATACAATTTAACCTTTATATTTAATCATTTCCAATATAGAGACTTGCTTTTCATCCCCATAAGGAAGACAAGTCCCCATAATGTGACTCTGTCAACAAATTTCAGTCCCCACAACATAAGTTATATGCACACACACACACACACACACACACACACACACACACACAAAGACACAACACACGGAGTGCAGCCAAAGATCTCCACCTTTGTTGATTTGTGACCATGGTGACAACAAATTAGAGACTTTGTGTATCTTACTCGACTTGCAGCAATGATGATGACAGAAACTATACACAAGACAACAGTCCAGACCAGACCAACCAGTCCTTTGTTACCTATAGACCATGTTTGTGTCAGGACATTAACCGGTTTATAAGAGTTAAACCTGACTGATTGAACTCAAACTGTAGAGCTGCAAAAACACAGCAACAAACAAGTTGACATACCTATCAATTCAATTCAGCTCCATTTTCATCTTCAACCTCAGTTTATTTAAAGTCCACATCTGAGAGTCTGCACACGTTACCAGTTAAACATCAGACAGAAAAATACGAGACTGAATACACACGAGCACACAGGCAGAAACCCAGACACACAGGTATGAATATTGATATGACAATAGGATAAGCAATCGTATTCAAAGTTGAATCCCTTCAAAGACAACCTGGTCAGTGTAATTAGGACGGGTCATGCAAAGGGTTTTCAAACTTGAAAATATCAACAGAGCCTACTTAATTTGCATGGCTTTGAGTCAAGAGATGCCCTGAGTCTACTTCCATTATTATATGCAGTCTATAGTCATGGGAAGGCATAAGAAAAGATGTGCATAGCGACAAAAATGTTAGTGTATGACTTAGATATAATAGGGTGTATATTGTTCATATAAAGAGATGGATGTGTGTAGTTCTGTGACATATATGATATTTGGCTCATACTTAAAATGTTGTCAAGAATTATTCCCAAATTCTTGAATGTATCAATCAGGAATTTGTGCTGCAAATGATGGGCTGTGTTTTTTTTATTTAGGGCTACTATTGGTCTGAACATCTTACAGGTGGATAGATTTGTATGTCATCTGCTTAGCAATATTAATGTTGTTTGTTTTGAAGATCTAAAATGATCACGGAGAACAAGTACTGATGATCATTGCATTTACAATGAGCGAGCAGAAGGCAGCAGGAATTGAAAATGACATCCTCTGTTCACGCACAAGTTCCTCTAAAAACAGTCTTCCTCATCCAATGAAGAAAAATCTCTTTCAATATCAAGTTGAGTTTAAATGAAAGTTTAAATTAAATTTACTTTAGCTAATCACTAATTATTTGTAAACCACCTTGAGCTGTGTGATATTTATTTGCTTTTTTCATTACTTACTGAGGACATTAATTAACATTAACAAGTGATGAAAAACAATGTTTGGGAAACTGAGATATCTTATTTCTGAATTACATGAAAGCCTCAGTCATGGTAGAACTGTCCTAGTGTGACTTATTTAGCTTTTAGATGCAAATGTAGGCTGGTAAGATCTAAACTCACTGTGCTTGTGCTCAAGTTAAAACACATATTAGAATACAAGGAGAGCTCATGTTGGCTTCCAACAGGCCAATTATCACTGAGATTTTTTTTCATGTAACAAGAGGCAGGGAAAGGGAAAACAAAAAGCTCCTCAGGAAAGCCAATCTTTTGCTTTCACTCTGTGGGAAAGAAAGACGATAGGTCTGTGAGATCTCGAAGAGAATAAAAAGAGAAGAAGAGAGAAAGGAGAACATAACAGACAGAGGATGAGTGAAAGAAGGAAATGAAGGAGAGGAAAAAGAAGGATTGGGCAATACAGAAAGAAAAGCAATTATCTTGCAGTTCTCTGAGAGCGATGACAGCAGTTGACAGGCAGCTTATTGCAAAGCTCTCATCCTGGCGGTCCACCAACCTGTCTTCCCCCTGCTCGCTTTCTCTTCCCATTATTTGTCGATCGCACGAGGAGAACTTTGCAACCGCTTCAGCTTCCTTTGATTGCAGCACAAACAAACACTCTGCAGTGTGTGTGTGGACAAACATGCTTGTTCTTACATTTGAGAATGTGTGTTCGTGTGTGTGTGTGTGTGTGTGTGTGTGTGTGTGTGTGTGTGTGTGTGTGTGTGTGTGTGTGTGTCAGTGTGTGTGTGTGTGTGTGTGTGTGTGTGTGTGTGTGTGTGTGTGTGTGTGTGTGTGTGTGTGTGTGTGTGCTGCTCTCTCTAAAAGGATGCTGTGCTGAAGTCCCCTTGGTGCGACAGCCCTGTCAAAGCAGATGCCTCAGCACTCCCTAAGAGCTGCCCGTCTTTTCATTTAAATCAGTGGAGTGAGAGAGGGGAAGGGTGGTGGAGGAGTGTGTGTTACTGGAGCAGCACAGTCTTCACTCACTTTTAACACTGATCAAGGATTGTCTAACACACCGATGAAGGAAAGCTGGTGAGCTGAGCAGCCTCTATATGTAAAACATCTGTGGCATTTAACTGACACAGGAAAATGAAGACGTCTACTGTACGAGTGTAAGAACTATGTTGTACTGCACATGCAAATTGACACAACACACGTATTCACACACACAAGCTGTGTCGGCAAGCTCGTGCTGAAGTCTCTAGTGGAGCCTCAAGCCTTCTGCACCATGCTGACCCGAAGCATACATAAGAGAGAGGGAGCTAGGGAAAGGTGCTAAATTAAAAATGATAGTCTCTTGATGGGCTGTAAGTGGTGTTCTGGACGCGGGCTCGCCCTCCCATTATAAAACCTTAATGCTGCAGCTGAACGCTGCTACTGTTTCTTTAGTAGATCTGTAGCTTTATGTAGCAACGCAGCACCTCTGCTCCTTTAAGGTCACACACGCAAGCTAAGAGAAACAAATCAGGAAAAACAAAAGCACTCGAGAGCCACAGTATGTTTTATACCCAAAACAATCAACATTAAAGAGCTTCACATGAATCTTTCATCAAGTCTCTCGCTGCTCTGGGGAAAAGCTACACAATAATTCAAAGATAAACTCCAATGGATAAATATGAAGTCAGGACAGTTCAGCTTTCATCCACCATTATCCAATCATAAACCGGCTATTTTGCACAAGGTGACTTTGTCGTGGCAGAATTTAAGGACTAATAATAACTGATAACAGATTAAGTGTCGTATCAGCACGAGGCTGAATTTTCTCTCTGACAAACACATATGGTGAAAATGGGGTTGCACTGTGACAAACCCAGGAGATGCATAACTAACAAGAATGAACTCAGGTCTATTTTGCCTCTGCATCATATACAACTGTTTTACTGTTTTACTGTATTCGTTGAACATTTTTCGACGACTCTAAGGCAGCGGTGCATGTGGGCAGCTTGGATCAGGAGTAATGCTGATCTGATTCTGACTGAAGCATCTCTTTACTTTATCAACCTAGCCACTGCTGTTTGCTGTTGCTATTTTCAGCTGGCAGGGTTGAGCTGCAAGTACATATGAAATGAGAAATTTCTTCTTTCCCATCATAACAAAATACGGTAAGATACATTAACTATAAAATTAAATGTTTTCAACCCATAAAGTGATTTAATATCCACTATTTTACGATTTTCTAAATGTGTGTAGGGTGTGAGCTTTTAGTCAAAGCCCCAATTTGTGCAGTTTTTGCTGAACAGGATAAAAAGACATGCACTGATGTTTTCAAGCAACTTTCTCCTTTTACCTCTAATTGATCCCAGTGTGTGTGTTCAGGGAAAGTCAAAAGCTTTGCCTTCTTGCCTTTGATGTTAAGGAGTCTGGCTAATTGTGAAGGCAACCGAGGTTACGACTGACCACCGGGTGCACAACTTCAGCTTCAGTGCGGTGAAATAGAGGACAGAGTCTCTGAATCACTCCACAAAAAATACAACTAACAAGGTCACGACAAATGAGCAGATCTGTTACAAGAACTAGAAGAAGAAGAAGAATTACTCTTTAGTATACAGCATGAAGCTAAGGACAGCTGATTCAGTCACTCCAGGGTAGAGTTGGTAAGAGATTTTTTAAACCCTTTTTTATCTTAATTGTTGAAATCCTCTTCACATCCCATTCGCCATCAATACATAAAGTTGTCTGAATTTCTTTCTAAAAAAAGCCAGTGTCTGTGACCCTTGCAGGACTTTAATAAACACAACCAATTATTTCATTCTATCCGAATATGTTGGTGTACCTGTCTGTCACTAACCAACCTGCCTGCCTGCACACACATACTCATACATTCATATTTAACCTGATGAAAGAGATTAAGATATCTGTAAAACGTTCATATTGGTTGCTCTAAGTTCACAATAAATTGCAAAACAACAGATTACTTTACTCACAATGGTGTACAAGCACTGGTGCTCATGTGTTTTTCTGTTAGCTTTGAGTAGCAGCGATGCAATAAGAGACACACAAACTGTGGCGCATCCTTCTTGATGCAGAGGAGAGGAGAGATAACAGGCCCTTAGAGAAAGCTGAACTGAGCTAAAGATTCTGTACAACACAGCCATCATGAGCTCAATCCACACCACGCTCACAGTCCTGCTCCCTGAGGACATTACAGATACTCCTTTCATTACCATTACTTATTTCACCTTTGACTTCATGCAACTGTCCAAACACACACACAAGCCCCAAAGTAGCCTGTTAGTATCCGCTCATCTACTAAAGGTTAAAGGTTATTCCGGCTCCAAAACAGTCTGTATACATAAACACCGCCTATATACGATTCAAATTAAGCAGCAAAGAAGAAGACAATTAGAGTGGAGACAATGAGCAGTTAATTGGATCAGCTCGGGAAATCTAGTTGTGCCTGGCTGCTACAGATGTGGATAGGAAACATTGAAAAGGCTGCTGTGTGTGTGTGTGTGTGTGTGTGTGCACGCCCCTTATCTCATTATGGTCTTTACCTCCATGATTATTACAAACACATTCATAATTTTAGTTCCACACTATTTGACACTGCTGATTATGTAGATTATAAAAACTCCTTAGATCGAATCTCTACTCCCATCTAGGTGTTTGGTATAAATAAATACATATATATATCAAGTGTCAAGTAACCATATTTGGAGAAGTGGGGGTTGGAGCTTGACCAAGAGTTAGAGGATGCTATGCGCCCACCTACAGCTGCAACACGCTGCCAGGCTAACTTACAAAACGAGCATCGTGCTCTATTAAAGAAGACAGGAGACTAGAGATTGAGAATATAAATTACATAGGAAAATGCTTCATTGTCACTCTTATGCTGATGTTATTATATATATGTGTGTGTAATTAAAGATAAAGTTAGGTTAGACTATGGAATAATGAGAATTTGATGAACCCATATTAAATCTGTTTCTGTGATGGTGTTTCACAAAAACAATGAGGACGAGAAATTCACTATAACAAGGTCATTTGTATGATAAAATATGTATATGCTGATACGTCAGATATGAATATTTTACTACTTTTACATTTTTACTCCTACTCTGGGATATCAATAAATGATATCACTGTAGAGGTGTATCAGAAGCTGCGGCCATAGCCTTTTTTTAAGTTATTTGTAGCACAGTGTTTGCAGTGTGATTTGTTGTCAGAGGCTGGGATTTTCTCTCACCAGTGTGATAGTGCAGGCGCAGGGGCTGGCTGTGGTCTCCTGTGGTCATTGGGTGGAAATTCACTGTCACCTGCATGCTCTTGCCTATATCAAGAGTCCCACAGGGGGGCGTCACTGAGAAAGGCCTGGAGTAAAATACAACAAAACTTTTACTCATAATCAGTAGTAGTAGTAGTATTACTTTAAATGTTACTTAAATATTTACCTAATTGCAGTTACAGTTATAACCTTCTTAAGGGTTCACACATAATGGCTTTATAGATTTAAACTGATGGTAAATTACAAAATCTTTCAAACACATCAGACATAAACTGGGTGTGTATAGACTCTAACCTCTGTGTGTGCAGCTCGAACTTAGCCGCCCTGTTTCCTATGTTGCGGACTAGCTTAGTGATCTCTGTGGAGGCTTTCACTGGACAGATCGGTAGACAGATCTCATCTCGAAAGTCAAGGATGGCACGTGGCCCAATTGCACGGACTGGCACCTCAAACCGCTCCCTCTCTGTCACAAAAACCAACCTGTGGTTGTAGTCCTGAATGGAAAAAGATGTAAAACAATGATTTTTGAGAAACACACAGAGCAAACCTTTATTTTATGGCCTTTTTTTCAATTCAACGTGTGTGGATACCCCTGAGCAGAGCAGCCACAAACCTTTCATTATGGTTCACTGCTATGCTAACAGAATGACATTTCCATTCCCTCAATCACAGCATCGTGTGTTGACCACGATAACCTTTGCTTCTCAGTTTTCACTTTTACCCAAACTATCAGTACAAGAGAAGTCAAAAGGATGTGCTGTTGTAACTTGATGCCTGACCCTTGACCTTCTCATTCTGACCTTGCTGTTTAAAAGATATCAATGCAAGATAATTGCATCCATTTAATTCATATCACATTCTTAACCACATCCTCTTCTCTGCTTCACCACAGGTCTGATTACAGCTTCATTTACTCATCTAATCTAAATCACCCCAAGTGCTTGTTACCATGATACTTCATTGTGCTCCCTAACTCTGTCCTCCTGTGTATGATAACTCTCTAAAGCAGTCAAACCCCCTCTCAGTACCTTGTTCTCCTGCGGGGTGAAGAATACAGTGAAAGTCGTAGACATCCCTGGTGCAACCTTGCTAACTGTGTCCTTTGAGCCGCCCACATGGAAACACTCTGACTCCTGCGGCTCCAGCCTCACACTTCGAGGAACCTTAAAAGAAAATAACACACAGCCTTTATAAAGTTGCAAGCACCACACACAGCCACTCGTGATTGAAGCATCAGCTCTGCAGCCATACTGCTTGTGTTTATTTATCCATCAAAGACCTTGTCATTGTTGGAGAGGACAAGCTGCAGCTTGTAGGTCTGTGCAGGGGTGAAGTTCTGGAAGCACAGCTCAGATGGGCTGGGCTGGAAAAGTGCCCGGTCCACGTCTACCAAGGACAACTGAGAACACACACACACACGATATAAAATAACGCAGATCGAAATGTGGCTTTCCTTAGAAATATTTACTGACTTTAATGTCAGAGTCAGAGACAATTAAGGGACTTCTAATAGTTTGGGGGTATGAGCCAAGAACTCTTTGGAGCCTCAAAATAACAAATGCCAACATTGCACCTGAACAAACAGGCCCATGATCTGATGGATGCGAGCGCTATTTAAACAACATATGTGCTGGATGGGAAAATGACTTCTAAGATTGTTTTTGAGTAAGATTGCATAATATATCTGAGTAAATACTGTCTATGCCTCTAAATTTAACCTGAATTATTTTCTTTCATCTTCTAACATTGTATATATTTGCTTTCAGGATCCTGCTGGTCATTGCTCCTTCTTACCACCTACAGTGGAGGTTAGTCTCATTACATTTGCATTTTTAAAAGACATTGAGAAAACGTGAACAGAGCGAGTTGCAGAATGTGTCCTCTTAATTATGATGAAGGGGGTATTATTCATTTCACAGGCATTTCCCAAACTTTCAATAGCATTTTCGCTAAGAGCCCTCCATTAAATTCTGACTTCAAAGGGCATTCAGTCACACTGGTTGCCCTCTGCCCTTCAGTCATTTTTTTTTTGGCTGTTCTCTCCCAAGAATTTTGTTTCATTTTTGTGGATCGTGTAGTACCCCAACATTAGCATGCAGTTACTTTGTGATGTGTAGTCTTGCTCATGTCGAGCAGCTCCAGGATCCGGGGTGGGTGAATCTGCTTGGTGTTTGCCAGGCGCTCCTCTGTGGACTGTAACATTTCCTGGGTGTAAACAGATGGAGTCACCTGCAAACACACAGCAGCAGTTTATTATGCTATAGCACCAGCAGTGAAGTAAGCGACACAGCATCAAACCAGACTTTCACCACTGAAGAAGAGTGGGGAAAAGATAATCAACACAAGAGCTATAAGCTGTCAATTTTAGGCTGTCAGTTATGACACAAATGCACAGACATCTGCATCACACACATACAGGAACATTAGCATCAGCTGATTTCATGCCTCCAATGAATGTTACTGTAATATTCTCCCCCTCAGTGAGGACCATCTGCAGCATTTTATGGTTAGTATCCTCTCCACACAATTCTCTGGCACTTCTTTATCAGTGGAGAAACATCTGACTCCACTCAGCCTATTTCAAGGTCGGGTCAGAGACGGATTTTTGCTTAAAATATAAATCACTAATGTTGCAGAGGAGGTTATTGTATATGCAATATTTAATAGCTGCCAGTAAGGTGTGTATTCTTAATACACTCGTTCTAATACGTTCTATTATTCAGTTGACTCAAATAATTCAAGTTGTAAACTACGGCTGTGAACCAGCGCAGTGCGGGCCTGAGCACTTGTGAAATCGGGACCTGCACCATCAAGTGCAGACCACACGGTGAAATGAAGTTGCAAAACGAGTCTTACTTCCTGTTTCCAGTAGGTGGCGCAATCACTATCACTGCATACAGACTAATAGATCTGTTCAGGTCAGGGCTGTGATTACTGTAAGCCTGACAAATTTGCGGCTGCTTGGACAATGCACACTGGAGTTACAGCAATTTTGTGTGTCGTGGCGACTCGTTGAAATTTGACTCTACGTGCTGTGATTACAGTAAGTCATGATTTCTGTGTAGATGTCATCAGGCCAGAGCTCTTGTCATACAAGTACAGAATTTCATGAAACTAGACGGAATATCTGCGTTTTAGGGGGAGTTGTTGAGCCATTTTGCCATCAGGCCCGACGTGCCAGCGAAGTTTGGTCAAACGAAAAGCAATAGGGCCTTCGCACTGTTGGTGCTAATAATCAGCCATAAGGACAGATTGATAGTTATATGTAGACCTGAGAAAAATCTCAGTAAAATAAAAAGTATATCCCACTCGTGTCACCTACTCAGATACAGATACAAGCAGCCGAGGAGCAGAGGCATGAAGTTTGCTGAGCAGGGGACACTGCAACAAAGCACTGCAGTCACACATTGATTTTTATATCCTATCAGAGGCCAAGGTAATTATTAGGATATTCTGTCATCCCGAGCAAGTTTAGAAAAAACATATAAATAACATTTGACCAAGTCTAAAACATATAGTCCCAGGAAATTGTTCCCTTGGTCGAGGATTCTTGAGATAAGCCTGATTTCTAGATATGTGTGAAATTACAAGACGTGATGTTGCCTTGAGTATTCACGATAAAAGAGTGAGTTCACAGAGAAAAGAGGTAAAAACAACTTGATATCATCCTCACCTTTCTTGGCCTGTCCTCCTTCAGAACAGGTGCGTGGCTGTAAAGCACATTCTGTCTGCTCCCAGATTCCTTTGTCTGCGTGTTCTTCTGAATGGCCGCCATTTAGAAAGTGTTGTCTAGCAGCAAAACATCTGTAAGAGGAGAGGAGAGGAGAGGAGAGGAGAGGAGAGGAGAGAAGAGAAGAGGAGAGGAGAGGAGAGGAGAGGAGAGGAGAGGAGAGGAGAGAAGAGGAGAGGAGAGGAGAGAGGAGATGGAAAAAGGGTAGAATTAAAAGAAGGGAAGAGGAGATGAGAAGAGGAAAAAATTAGAGAAGAAAAGAAAAGAAAATAGAGAAACATTAAGAGAAGAAAGGAAAAGAGAGAAACATTAAGAGAAGAGAAGAGAAGAGAAGAAAGGAAAAGAGAGAAACATTAAGAGAAGAGAAGAGAAGAGAAGAAAAGAAAAGAGAGAAACATCAAGAGAAGAAAAGAAAAGAAAAGAGAGGAGAACAGATTCAGGAATCATCAGTTTGAACCGTTGAATTTAGCTCCAGGAGATTTGAAGCTAACGCTGCTTCTCGGCTTCACCACAATCAGAACACTTCGTCTCTTAACGTCACACACGACGTGTTGTCTGGTGAAAACCATTAAAAAGAAAAACACGAACGCATTAAATCACCAGATCGTTGACTTGAACACACAGAGAAGATCCGGATCTCACCGTCAGCGAACAGCAACTCTCTCCACCGCGACCTGTTGCTGTGGCAACGCACTCAACCCGACCGCGCAGTAAACTCGTCTCTGATTGGTCGATGGGTGCAGCGCTGGTTTCCTGCAACTCTTATTCTATTACTTACTATTTGTTTGATTGTTCTGAATTTTATTCTTTCGTGTTAGCATATTTCAGCTTTTACTTTTAGATACGTTGCATTTTATAGGAAATAGTGGTTGGTCACTCTGGTGCTACTGTGCTGTCTTAACTCCTTTTGTTCCTTTTCATCCTACTTTTATTGCAAGTGTATTTTATGTTGTGTCTTAAAAGAGACAGATTTGGACTCTGCTGCTTGATAATAATAATAATTATAATTATAATAAACTTTAGATTTTGTAAATTCAATGTGAATCAAAATACAATACATCCATCTTAAATGTTTAGTGAAGTTTGAGGCAGAAAGAAATGGACACAACGATGACTAATAACTGTTGTGAATTGTGCTATACTTTCCAAACCAGGTTTAAATAAACAATTAAACCTTGACTTGTCTTGGTTTTTCGTATGTTTTTTTTAAAACACAATTCATAGGCTTTTTAAAAAATATTTGGTGAGATGAAAGTGAGGCGCATACAATCTAATGATCTGCTACAGAAACATCAACATGATCCACAGACAGATTTGGAAATAATGACTCTACTTGCTCACAAAAACATTTCAGGAAATCCTGACAAGTCTCAGATCGGGCCTCTGTCTCTGTGTGTGTGTGTGTGTGTGTGTGTGTGTGTGTGTGTGTGTGTGTGTGTGTGTGTGTGTGTGTGTGTGTGTGTGTGTGTGTGTGTGTGTNTGTGTGTGTGTGTGTGTGTGTGTGTGTGTGTGTGTGTGTGTGACCAGCGGGTTGTGATTATAAGGTCATTAAAAGGGCATGTGGGTCTACAAAAATGGATGTGAAAGCCCAGTAAGCGTGAAAGCAGGACAGGAATGTTTTAACTTCAATCTATCATTACATGAATAGATGCATATGATACGGTTCAGGGGTTAATCATCCTTGTTATTTCCCCCAAGTAGAGGAACTTTGTCACTGATCAACATTGATAAGTACTTTTCCCATGAGGCCCCACTCTCAGAATTAGTTTTTGCTCTATATTGTCAGTGACTGAAACTCCCCATTAATTCAGTTGTGTTCTGTCCCATTGCCGAGTATAACGTAGTTTGGTAAGTGATACCAAACTACGTTCTTTTTTAAAGCATTAATTAGAACAGGCTGCTTTTATACAAACGAAAGGAAGAAGTTAGTCACAATACAAAGACTTAATATAATTATAAGACAGGGAGCAACAGTCTTTTAGATGTTTTAATTAACAATACAGTAAGTCAAATTGAAACTGACTCCTTAAAATATCCACTATGTCTTAATTGTGTACTGTGGAAGTTAAACTGTGTTAAAATCAAATTTCAAGAGAATATATTGAATACCTGACATCCATAGATAGCCTAACAACTAATAAAATACTTTTGTCTTATTGTGATAAAGAGTTAAACATATTTCACAGACACAATTATTGGTTGATAGTTTTCTTTCTGTGATTATAACCTGTAATTGCAGCTTTCACTGGGCCTATACTCGTTTTTTTGTTCTTTCTTATCTCTCATCACTTTCATTCTCTCCATCCAACCCATGTGTCAGCACTTTGAATTGTTGCACAGCCTGTGAGTGTGAACATTTGCGTACTTATATCTTTGTGAGGACCATTTTGAGCATAGACCATTTGGAGTGAGGACATTTTGGGAAAGAAAGGATATTTCGACTTGTCCTCACTCTCAGACCTGTTTGAAGGCTCAGACTTGCTTTGAGGGTTAAGAGTTGGTAAGTGTTTGGTTGGGATTTTATAAAACATTTTCTAACCTTTATTTAGCCAGGAAGATCCCATTGAGATTAGTAAACTGTCTTTTTTTTTTTTTACGGAGACATATAGCACAGTTTAAAACATGTAGTTAAAGACACAAAGCTCACGAGAAAACAAGATCAACCTAACCAAACATCAGCCTGGAGCACAACAAAACTAAACTAAAACTATGTAGATTCAATGGTGCAGCTTGACATTTGTTGTAAAGTAAACATTTTATCTATAAACGGATTGTGTGTGAATAGTTATTGCACCGTGTGAGTATCAGTTGTCCAAACAGGAAGGGAAACATATGTGCAGAGGGTTGTTAGTCGTGGGTTGACTGCAAATTTAGGAACCTGATGGTAGAAACCAGCCAGATCTTATAGGCGTTTATTGGACCCTGACTGCAGTTCTGTCACCCTGGTTTTTAAAGGCATACAAGGGAGATTCATTTGCTGATAGTGAGGGTGTTAGACTAGGGAATGCATGGTGCCGATGAGTGTCCTCATTAAGATGGAAGTACAAAAGTATGTGTGTGATGTGTGTGAGAGAGAGACGAACAAGTTGAACTAGTTGTTTTTGCTTTATTCGTAATGTTCTGCAGAAGTTGCAGATTTAATCTTTTATCAAAAGTTGCAGATTTAATATTTGCCCTCCTCCTTCCTCTCTCTCTCTCTGTGTGTGTGTTTGTGTGTGTGTGTGTGTGTGTGTGTGTGTGTCCGTGCACGCGTCAGTGAGCTGCTCATTCTGCTGGAAAACTGGATTTAGTCTCCTGCCAGAGGCCCCGCCCCCCCTCTGTCCAGTACGCGCTGACGTCAGTGCGCAGCGTGACCTCGGCAGTCTCCATCCTCCGTCACCTCCACGAGAGAAGCGTCCGTCAGCAGCGACACGAACCCGGGTCTGATCCACACCGCTGTCCCGCTCCTCGTCTGGAAGCTATGGAGGCTGCGTCCTGCTCATCCAGCAGGTGAGACCCGCGGGATCAGAACGCACGAGACGGCTAAACTGACATCGGGCATTTTGTTCTATCTGACAAGAGCAGAAGGTTTATTATGAGGCTTTATTCTAAGGATTACACCTCTCTGACGTCCTCACTTTAAATCCAGTTCGTGCATTTTACGCACGAAGAATTCCTCTCTATAATTAAAATGTCTGCGCAGTCAACAGGTCGCTGTTGTGCTTCTGCTTCAGCTTAGCAACAGCTCAGGCTGCTCAGAAACGCTGTGTGTTTTTGTTCCCCCGGGGACGTGCTGCCATGTGTCCGCCAAACTGTGAGGCTCCGATCCGGGAGGAGGGAGGAGGGGAGGAGGGGAGGCCGGGTCCTGCTCCGCTTCTCGCTCCGGCCGCTGAATACTAAATTCCGGCAGCACCGCGGACAGCTCCCGGCCTGAGAGAGCCAGAGACAGGGGGGAGGGAGGAGGGGGGACCACTTCCTGTTTCATAACAACACAGGCTGCTGAGTATGTGACCTGCAGTATTAGTCTTATACTGACTGGAGGACAATAAGAAAGAATACAAACATCAAGCTCGTTCATTGTGGCACAGGAATAAAGATTAAACACAAAATTAGAGATTGAACACAAAAGGTAAAAGAGGAGCATTGAGAATACAGACTAGCTTACATTAAAATATATTTATTTGATAGCTGTAAGTTGTTTGTCTGGTCACGCACTCAACAGTTCACATATAGATATCAGTCATATGTCCTGAATTCTTCTGTGAGAATTCAAGCAAAATGTTGAAAAACAAACTCTCTTTCAATGTCAGTGAAATAAAAATTCCTGGATCCGTCCCCTGATCCAGATCTGCACCAAAAATGTAATGTTTCCTGACCCATACAGCAAAACTGAGAAACTCCACCACGCTTCATGGTAATTCCTCCAGTTGTTTTCACAAAATCTTTCTTACAAACTAACAAACCGACCATCAGAGCGATTGGACCTGTTCACAAAGAATGTTCACACACCTTTCACCTAAAGATATTTGCTTTTTAAACGAACCAGTCGGGTTCTGTGGAAACCTGTGGAAAGATGATCTGAATATTCTATACAAATGTTGGATTGTACTGACTTCAATGTTTGGTTCGTTCTCATTCAACAGGTTATAATAACTTTCAAGCTTTTCATGATAAAATCTCTAAGTTACATTCACTCATTTTCAACAGTCAGTGTGTGTGTGTGTGTGTGTGTGTGTGATGCTGCCATGACCACCTGAAGTAATTCTTCAGGTTGAAGAACAATGTCTGTTACTGACAGACTGGCAATGACAACCACCGTCTGTGCTGTAGGATGAAATCAGTCCTACTGATTTTATAGAAAACAGAAATACGCCTCCTATTATCGCCTCCTTTTTCCCTCCTGTCTGTCTGTTGGTTTGTGTGTTTGTTAATTAGCAAGATTACACAAACAACTACTGGACAGATTATTATTGGTGGAGGAATGAGGTACAGGTCAGGACAGAACCCATTAAAGTTTGGTGTGGACGTTTCTTCAACATGGTGTAAAATATTTACCTTGTATTTTCTTTTTAGCTTGAATGTAATAAGAAAACCATATGGAAACACCCTGCAGCTGCTCTGTTACTAGTACTTAGTCATCATAACTTGTTTGGAGTTTCTGTAACTCCATTTCAGGATATTCCAGTAAAACCAGTTGCATAAAAACTTTTGTGAACTTATCTCTTGTGCAAAAACCAAACTCCCTTTTCCTGTTTGTAGGAGCTTAACTATTTCCCAGTTGTTGAAACAACAGCTGAACCTCCTTTATGTTTGCTGTTCATCAATATACTCTCTTATTATATTGTTTGGTTTTTCTTTTTTATAACTTATACATACTTTATATTTCAAATTTATTTTAGTACAATTGCCGAATTCAAAACCGTCCTCGGCTGATAAACACGCCTCAAACACAAGTGGAATCCACACTGTCTTTCCCCCCCCCACACACACTACACACATTCACACTGTGAAGCTTAAATATTTTATGGGTAGAGACAAAGACGTGCTGCTTCATCAGAGATAAAGTTTAGTGATATTTTTAATAAAGCATTTTGTTCGGTTATTTTCAGATACAGTTATGAGGAGTACAAAGAGACCGCAGAGTGGCTGAGGGACCACACGGAGCAGCGGCCTAGAGTGGCCATCATCTGTGGCTCAGGCCTGGGCAGTCTGGCCGATCTGCTGCAAAACAAGACTGTCTTCCATTATAAGGACATCCCTCATTTCCCCATTAGCACCGGTAGGTCGTCTCTGTCCATTGCATTTTATTAGAAAAGCACCATCAGTGTTATGACACAGCTTGTACGAGCTCGCAGCTCATTCTGTCTGTGTAATCGTGCAGTACCGGGTCATGCCGGTCAGCTGGTGTTCGGGAGTCTGCAGGGCTGCGACTGCGTCTGTATGCAGGGTCGATTCCACTTCTACGAGGGCTACGACATACAAACGGTAAGATGCAGCGTGTAAAGTATAAAGTGTACGACGGCGCTGAGTACACCTCTGTGCTTTTAACTGAAATGGTAAATGATTTGTACCTGTGTCATCCGTCAAAAGACAAAAAGCATTCGCAGTCTCGATTCAACCTGACACCAACCTGCATGTCTTTGGATCATGTGAGGAAGCAGGAGAACCCGGAGAAGATCAACGCAAGCACGGGAAAAACATACAAACTTGTCAGAGAGACTATATCAATACTACAGGCCCCAAAGCATATAGTGCAGTGTTTGAGTAGCTACCTGAACAGGAAACCAGAGTGTGAGGCTTAATAATCATCAGCTGCAGAACATTTACACAAGCAGATGAGTAAGGGCTTCTGGTTTGGCCTGAGGACTTTCTGTGGAAAGTGTCAGTGACTGATCAGACAGCGTGAGGGACGGTGCAGGAAGTCAACATCAGACGCTGATATTTGCTGATTAGCATATCCCCAAAAACAAAACAAAACAAAAACTAAGTGTAAGACAAGTTGCAATTTAGATTTTGACCTCATGGAGTTGAACAAGTTGAACTATTTCACAGAATAAGTGAAGCCAGTTTTACTAAAACAGTGCTTGATGGATTGTAAATACATAATTTCTCCTGAATTTCTGTCCCCAGTCAACGTCCCTCTGCATTTCCAAACCTTGCTGATGTAGCTGATATTGGTTCCAGGATAAGTGAACTGCAGCTGGAAGTTTAAACTCTGACTTTGTCGATCACTTTGAGAAAAGTATTAACAGCGTCTGCGGGCGGAGGCCTAATCTTTAAACTGTGGAGGTGAGCACAAACTCACTTTATTATTCTTGTCACAGCAGGAGCCTCTTTGCGAGACTCAATTGATTTTGTGCCTCATTACTTTAAAGAACTTTCTGTTCCTCACTGGCTGTGGATAGAGTTTGACTAAATGCAACTAATTGTTGTTTGAATTCAACTTTTTATAACTCATTAGATCAAATTTTAATCCTCAGTTTTGTCATTCTATCATAAAAAGTCGTATAAAATTTGTCTGCCTCTGTTTTTTGTCCAGAGCTTGACAGACCGTGGTTTATTGCACAACTCGGGCTAACAATTTACAAAGTGCGTTGAATGATCATGTGATGACAGTGAGAAAACAGGATGGCCGACGGCCTTTGCCCCATGGAGACACTGCTTCCTGGTTCAATCACCAGCTATGATGTTCCGCCTCCGCTTAAATCATCCACATAATTCCACTGAATCATAAAATACGGTTTTATACAAACATTAATATAGAAGGACGGAGGCTTTGTTGGAATTTTAAACAAAATCATACTCCGATCAGAGAAGTGACTAATATACTGTTGTATAAAAATAATCTTTAAGCAGTAATAATGTCTTTTTACAGGTATAGTGTAAAATGTGTTGTCACACTTTTTGGAAAACAAACCAACTCACCATTTGCAGCTCAAGGAATCTACTGATGATTCTTCTATTACACAACACAGCTCACAATCCTCACGTTTTCAGTCTCTAGCGAGGCCACAAGTCCAGTGTAACACACTAAATGATACGCACATGATATGCATTTAAATAGAGGCAGGTTTTCACAGACGTATCAGTTTCTAGGTTTAGTTGACCTGATATATAAACTTTTTTTAAATATATATATTCTCCTGATCCAAATCAATGGAACTCTAATTTAGATCAAACTCTCTCATGTTTCATACTGACAGCACTCACCTTATCAGGAAACCTGGGCACTATAAACGTTTCTGCTTCAACAGGCTAAAGATTTTTATTTCAACTTATACACACGTGTTATAGGAAAAAAGCATTTTTCAAATGTGACTGCGGAATTTACGGGTAATTTATAAAGGTTTGCATAGAAACACAACTGTTTCAGACATCAGCAATCATCAAAATCCTGGAGTTCACTGACATCACCGCACGCAGACGCTGTCCCATTTAAATTGCTGCTTTCTCCTGTGGTGCGTTTTATCAAGACAGTAAAAGAAGAATATTGTTTGTCTCTCCAGGTGACGTTCCCAGTGCGAGTCTTCCACCTGCTGGGTGTGGACACCCTGATTGTGACAAATGCTTGCGGTGGACTCAACTCCACCTACAGCGTGGGAGACATCATGCTCATTAAGGATCACATCAACATGCCGGGCTTTGCAGGGCAGAACCCTCTCTGTGGCCCCAATGATAAGAGGTGCAGCACAAACACAAAGGCAGGAATATGAAAGTGAAAGTTACACGTTCCTGAATCCAATTCTTTTCTTTCTTATGACTCCAGGTTTGGAGAACGTTTCCCTTGCATGTCCGATGCATATGACCGAGAGTTGATGGCTCTGGCCAAGCAAACAGCAGCGGAGCAGGGCTGCGACAGCTTCCTGCAGGAGGGAGTTTACTGCATGGTGGTTGGGCCGTCATTTGAGACCATTGCAGAGTGCAGAGCTCTGAGGACGCTGGGCGCTGACACTGTGGGTTAGTACAGCTCCCTGCTGCTCACACAGAGGGATCCTGATATGTTGTGGGAAAGCCTCTTTATGGTGCATCTGCAAAAGGAGATGAACTGTGTGTGAATATATTATTCAGATGAGAGCAGATAGTGCATTCTGGAGCATATGAGCATGTGGTTTTTATCTGCAGTATCCCCCTCTGGAATAGCCAAACCTTAGGTTGTGGTCTTAGGTTCAGTAATCAGACATTCAGAGAGGCTCATCCTCTATAACCTGCAAACAGTTTTCAGAGGGTCCATTTGGAAGTGCAGTTTTAAAGCTGGATTCATGTTGCACAGCTGGCACCTTACGTGACACGACTGTATGATGAGCTAAAGTTAAGGAAAGTCAAGTTAAATGGGCAAGAGAGACGATATATATTTCCATCAGTGTTTCTACTTTCTTTAACATTGTGAGGTCGGACATTTTTTTATATTTTAATTAATGGATGTTAATGTATCAGGCTCATTGAGGTATTTTATATCTATGGGTGTATGTGAATTTAGTGCAGCTGGATTTTATCACCTATAAATGTGAAGATAGAGGCAATAGCTTTTTATTTACAGCTTACAGCCTATACATGTATCTCAGTCTAATCTGGGTTCAGGCTGTTTACATGCAATGGGGAATACATGAATAAACCAGAGACTACATCACTTTACTGCAGATCAAACAGACAGAACAAGCCCTGCAGAAGCATGTGAAATGATTCAGCCGTCAGTCTGTGGATGACGAATTATAATACAGTCAAGTTTAAAGTTTAATGGAAGTGCAATAATACTAAATCACAGTTCTTAATATTTATCTCTCCTCCTCCAGGTATGAGCACAGTCCCCGAGGTAGTGGTGGCTCGTCATTGCGGCTTGCGTGTCCTGGGTCTGTCCCTCGTCACCAACATTGCCGTGACAGATTATGACAGCCATGAGAAGGCAAACCACGAGGAGGTGCTGAAGACCACCCAGTATCGAGCCCAGGACCTGGAGAGGCTCGTCACCCACATCATCGCCAAGATCTAGGGCTGTTGGCACCAAACAAAAAGAGCTTGGGGGATAGTGGTGGATATACTGTAGCTTTGAATGAAAGATTTAAATGTGTGTGCAGATGGTGAGATGTACATGTTGGGATGAACAGGTTGATATTTATTGTATCACAGGGTAATGATGGGACTGAGGGAGAAGCTAGTGACCATAGAGGAGCCAGTTAGCCATTGTTCTACATGTCTTAAGAAAAAGTAAGGTTTGCTTTTATTCGTTTGGTCCAGTCAGTAAAAAATGTGCTGACCATCAGTAATTCAGACCATTTGAACAGTTAAATAGAAAGTAAAACCAACAAAGGGTGTTTCACAGACAGACCACACCAAGCCTTGATTTTGCCTGTGGTCGCCATGGTGAGAACTGTACTCTGCCGCGGCTTTAACCACACATGACAATTACAACACGTGTCTGCAGCACCTTTAATGTGACTCATGAGGTGTTGACACCATCTATCCATTATCCATACCCCTTATCCAGGTTGCACCGGGGGTAATCCCAGCATGCATAGGGTGAGAGGCGGGGTGCATCCTGGACAGGGTGGTGTGCGGAGGCAGAGATTTCCAGAGCAGCTAAAAGGCTCCGGGCTCCCATAGTGTTGAATTTAAATGTATAGACTGACAGAGGAATGCAGCCGAGGGAGAGCTTAGGGCTAAGAAGGAGGTGAAGAGAGGGAGGAGGTCTGATAGGTGTGGGGGAGTATTGGCATTTTGTCCACTGCCATCTTAGTTTTTTGATTTATGTTTGCAGGAGCAGGGGGTGGAGCCTGACTGAGCGCTCGAGGTCACTGCACGTCACTGTCAATCACAAGGTTTCCACACCCTAATCCATAAGGTGCTCAATCGTCTATTTGACTCTAAATCGACCACGTGAGAGAAAACAGGTTTCAAGCACTTCTGCATCAGCTTCACTTTCCAGAACCAAAGTTAACGTGCATTTTTATGTTGAATATGAAGGTTTGAGGGGTCAGATTTGGTGCAGAGTTTATTGAGGTGTCAGTAAAAGTGAGTTTCTGCTCTTGACATGTTAGCAGGCATCGTTTAATCATGTAGAGACGTGAATCAACATATGAGAAGCTAATTGGCGAGTACAGAATGTTTTTTTTGTTCAAGAATAAGATCATTGGGACTAACTGGCTCTTACTTTTTATTGTTCTGTGATCGCTTAATAT